GACCCATTGCGGACTCCCCAAATGCTTGCTTTAGCATTTCATAGGTTTCCGTAGCCGTTTTGGCGAGTCTTTGGCAAAATTTGATGCACACTCTTTGTTCATGAAAATCCGCCATCCGAAATCGCAGGAGGGTCGGTGTAATGCACTACCAAAACGCCCGTAACTAAGAAACAAATGCTAATTCGATGATGCCGGCTAGCACACTGATTCACTATGAATGTAGGCCGCACCCCCTAGCGGCAGAAGCTCGTACTACATCCGGTTCGCCCTCTATTGACACAGTCTGGAAACTTTCCGATCGCACCTCGTACACAGAGAACATTCTTGATGTCAGGAATAGTGTAAAATGAACAAATATACCATGTCAGAAAGACTTAGATGTTAAAAGTTGAAGGTACAGTAACCATTTTATAATTTCAATGGGCAGTATATAACAGTTCTGTGTCCATACCTCTCATAGCTGATTCCAATTCTAATTTTTCTCTTTCCTCCAGTTGTGTTCACTTCTGAAGAGTCACAGCCGTTTACATAAGCCACTGGAAGTTGAACCAGCATATGAGGCAGGGGAGACTCGAATAGATAAACAGTCCGTCATGGTCCAGAGAGCTGTTTCTCCGCCCACTCAGCTTGCCTTATGTCAGAATCAAGAGAAGCAAAAGATGGCTGCTGCAAAGAGAAAAGATGTACGAATGCCACCCCCTAAAAGCGACGTGGACATGAAGTTGTTAAGCATAACAGAGGGTCTCTGTGAGTCAGTACATGGGGCACCTTCAAAGGATCCATTAGGCACAGGGTATGACACTGAGGGGGAACCTCCGTTCACTTAGGTGGCATGTTATATGGGAAGCTGGCAATGTTTGTAATTCTGTTCCTTTGAGCATGTATGTCAGAATGACATGAGAATAAATGAGTATGAGCATGCACTTATAAGACTGATAATTCACAACTTGTTTATTAATAACTTTGTATCAGTTGGATATTTCATTTATTTTCCTCACAGACTCTTTTAAAGAAAAGTATTAAAATATTCATGTACTTGTTATGTTTAAGTATGTTTATCATATGCCAGTTAATTAATCATTTTATACTTATATATAATGTAAAACACTTTTAAATGTGTTACATATTGTATCAGTTATTTTTTATTAATTAATTAATTAATGAGAACATTGATAGAACTTCATAAAGATAAAGATTGCAGGTATAATGTTCTCCTTATCTTACATCTCAAGATTATTTATTTAGTACAAGCACAAGAGTGGAGGTGCATACAGCCAAAGCAGAACCACAGAACAGGACACAAGAAAGAACCTTTCAACTTTGTAACATTATTAATATCATGAGGCTGTATTTAAAATTAAATTATGGAAAGAACTTATGACACCTACTTTATTCAAATACTTAGTCTATATTGTGAGGATAGAAATGACTATAAATTTGTAATTATGCAAATTAATTATCAATGTCTGTGCATAATCTCTGCTGATAGAGATTCCTTCTCACAGAGTTAAATTTGCCAGATACAACCTCAGATTTTCACACTCTTACCATGTTTATTTTTTAAAATATAAGAGGAATGTTCTGTTCAGAATTTGTATGCCTGTTTATGATTATTTCCATAGAAAACTTCATATGCCTAGCTCCAATGATATATTGCTTATAAGCCTGTCTTTCTTCATAATGTATGTCAGAAAGTTCTATCTGCCTAAAGAATGAGGTTTCCTCTGCAATATAACATGCATTTTTAATCTTACATATTAAAGTAATTATGAATATACAAGGCCTATAATAACAAGTCTCTGTCCTGAGTTACATAAAATCAGTCCACGTGAAGTGATTTTGTGCATTTATGCACATTATGTTCAAAAAGAATTAGGGCTCGTTATTTTTTCATCCACATTTGTAAAGGAATTGTGACAAATTAGTAAGTTGGAAAAGAACATTCTTGCAGTACACACAAACTCAACTTTTTAAACACATACTTCTTAACACAAAAATTACCTTGAACGCTGATGATGTCTTCAGGAGCCATGACATCATCATGCATGTACAGACGATAATGGGTAATGGTGGTGTCATCACTGTCTCACAACATGACTTTGGCATCAATCACATTGCTACTGGAAAACATTTTGAGCATCCATCACACTGGAATTACCATGTACAGGGAATTAAAAAGTACGATTTTTGATTAGCCTCAACTGACACAAGACCCACAAAAAATCCATCCAGCAATTTTTGATTTATTACAAGCATACAGATGTACATTGCCAGACATGACTTTCATCAAGGCAGATTCCATAATCAATGGTGAAGTGAGGTCAGTTATAGGCGCAAAGGAACACATGGCAAACATTCCACTTCAGATTTCAAGCAGTATTGCCGAGTGTGCAAAAAGGGTGTTTCTCAAATAATTACCAATGACAAAATTCGAGCAAAGTTTCATTAAAATCCTCACAGAAATTATCTATTTATTAGATTGGCACGAAAGAACATCAGATGAAGTTCAGGCCAGGTTGGGTTAGGTTAGTATGCGCAGAGGATCATGGATAATAGAGTCGACACCGAACGACTTGAAGCAAACGTCACGTTGGCATTACCGAGTGTGGAAAGTTTAAAAGCATGTGTTTGGAGTAACCACCTATGGCATAAAGTCTACAAATTTCATTAAAATCCTCACAGATATCATCTTGGGCGCGAAAGGGTATCACAACTGAAGTGCATGTTTGTTGGATTAGGTTAGTGGTCCGCATGCGCAGAATATTATGCATAATGGCGTCATAATCGATCCGCCTCACGAATTCAAGCAACTGTCAGTATTCGCTTGAAAACAAAGATATTTCAGTTTCGTGACTAATTCTTCTCAATTCAGTAAAACATCTATGTACATGTAACAAACTAAACATCAGTTTTATATATATAAACACTACACTGACCTTCCCTTGCTGTTTCCTGGTATTCAGCCGACTGTCGCCACAAAAATGTCTTATTAAACCACACCGAATGTTGCGTTCTTGATTCAAATTCAGCTGATGCTTGTAGTTTAGTCCATTCAACCGATTACCCTGAAATAGGTTTACCGTAGTTTTTTCTGTATCTGCTGTGAAATTCCGTTATGTTGGCTACGATAGATTCTTCGACATCACAAATTATAAAACAGTTGACGGTATATAATTTCAATTTTTAAATTGGCGCCGTTAAATACACAAATAAACATGACTGCAGTTCTCCGACTTCGTATAACCTGCCTCCAACACATCTCCATAGCAAAAAATATCTACATGCGATAAAAATGACTGCTATGTTACACTACTACAAAATGGTTAGTTACCTCACGATCTTCAGCAACAGAAGACAAAACTTCCAGTCACAAATTAACTTCGCAGGAGTTCTAAGCCATATCTATTTGTAGCCGAACGCAAATAACTAGATTTGGGTAAACTTGCCGATGTAAAACAATTCACATTTCGAAGAACACAGCACACATAACCACTCTTTTAGCAAAGCCACTGTCTTACTGCATTCAGATGATCAACCATAAATAAGACCGGACATTCGCTTTATACAATCTTAAACTACGTTATCTCAAGATGCAATCGACCACTATCATACATAATTCATATCGATCTCTGCCATCTATTGATTTATCTATCAAGTTAAACCCTTCATACCTTCTTATTCTTCTTCTACCACCATTGTCTGTCTTGTATACAGGTCGATGAACGAAAATTCTTCACTTTACGATTTCTTGCCAGTATTTCCCTCACTTCGTCTTCTAATGACTGTTTGAACATTCTTCTTTTGGATTGTCCCACGTGCCTCTTTCCTTTAAATTTTATTTGTAATACCCTTCCCTACATTAAACCTACACATGAAACCACCAAGACATAAAAGTTCCTAAAATGCAAGTAGGTAAGATTATATGAAACATAAGTACTTAATTAAATACCATAAAATGGAATCCCTTTTGTCCAACATTAAAAGGTTCTTGGACAATTTTTAAATGGCCAAAAGGGTTACTTCAAAAAAGTCAATGAGACAAACTAATGGCCTCCCTTCTGTTCTGATAATTTGGTCCCTTTGATAGTCAAAATGGGAATAAAGATATTTTCTCTCTCTAAGGCAAACATTTGGATTTTGCTGTAGGTTATTCAGCTAATACTTCAACAAGGTTATTTAATATATTTTGTATTGGAAATAATAAATTAATAATAAACCCCCATTGTAACTCTGTCCACCACAAATACAACAGATCTTTCTTTAACCACAACCCATTTGAGACGTGTGTGCTTATCATAAGACAAATCACAGAGCCAGATGAATTTTCATTTGCAACATTAACTCTGTACAGAAGGCACTCTTTTTAAAATATGTTCATCTGTCCATATCCATACCATTATTAACTGATTTCAATTCACTTTAATTTTATCAATTTAAATTTAGCATTAATGAACATATTCTGTTACATATATTTATGCAATAGTGGGAGAACATCTTTCAAGCCTGCTAAGATAAACCTATTTAACTGTACAACAGTAAGCCTAAAAGAACACAATAGTATTTATTATTATTATTACTTTATATAAAACCTGTACAACATTAAGTTAACACTCATAAACACATTAAAACTATTTAAAAACAAACAAACAAACTCATACATTAACATAAACAGTTCAGAATGCAGAAGATTCTGCACATAAATATGGCATCTATGTAAATGGCAAACAAGTAGGGCTGACTAATACAATAACAATGAAAATTCTGCTCCACAGGACTTACACTCTCAAAATAAACTGAATATCACAGAACTGTAGCATGTAGATTTCTGTCTTCTGGGTTGTTGCGCTGTGTAGTCTGGTAGATGTTTACCAACGTTTCAGAGGTGCCTCCGTCATCAGGGCGCACAGCGCAACAACCCAGAAGACAGAAATCTTCATACTCACCGCTGTGAAAACCTCAAATCATACAACTGTAGCATGTACTGATTTTTCTGTGTAAATATCAGACCTTGGTCAGCATGTCTTACTGAAAAATTAACCAAACCGATTCCATCAATTTTACATTAATATGAACATGAGATCCACACTCATCATCTGATTTGGGTCTTGGTCTGTCTACTGATGTCCAGTAAATGACTATGCTATACTTCAGATATTTTATAACATATGCAGTGCTTATCCCTTAACATTAGAAGCTGTTATATCCTTAAATCAACTGTCACATTAAACATATATATGTCTGTGTACATAACACTACATATGAAACATATAATCATCCATACTCTCAGTAAGATATTTTACACATTACTAACCAGTAAATTTATTAATACTCATGCTTTAATAACCCCGAAGAATACACTCTTCAGTTAATTGTCTCAACTAATTAACAAACATGTGGAGCAAGATTTTATTGAACTTTATATTAATACAAAGTGATCAAGATCTCAGATAAATTCACAACACTGCTAGCATATTTAAGAACCACTGAGTTTTATTTTGAAATTAAGTGCAATTAGTGTTACACTACATTGGAGCAACACCTCAATATCAATTTCATGTAGCCAGTCATAGACAGATTGTATCCATCCTGTGTATATTAGTTCAATTTTTTATCATGTACCTGACAATTATAATGGCAAGAGTGATGAGAAATTAATTATGGAGAATTCTAAGGAAACCTGACACATCAGAACCATACATCTCACAGAAAATGAATTAGAACTATACGCCAATACTCCAGCCATGCAACTTTGTACAATTATACAGGTTTTCCATTTAAAATGAAACCCCAATTACTACACAAACACCTTCACGACACAAAACAAAATAAATGGCAATATTAAATCCTTGTAGCCGTATCAAATTGTTTCTTGAAATCATTACAGCAATACTTTCAGCTGTTTGTCACTCTATGAGCACCTGCCACAGACAAACACTTCCTGTGCCTGAAATGTTGTTACCCATCACTGTATTGTCTTATTCAGTACTTCCTTGTCAGGATATTCATTGCTAAATGCTTCACAAAGAACTGGGATACTGGGAACGACCTGTTCTTCAAGTGTCTGAGCACTGTGGGTCCCAACTTTTCGTTGGTTTGATCTATAGACATTCGGTAGGAGTCCTTGGACGAGGGATCGGCCCATCGCAAGGCTTCTACCTGTACACAGGACAGCACGATACAGAAGAACGCGGACAAACATCCATGGCTTTCACAAAAAACAGTAAATGATTTTGAAGTGAAGTAATGTTTAAGAATGAACATACATTCTGCTTATGAATGCACCATGTTTGCATCTGCACAGCTTTTGTGGAACTGGCATATGATAGCATAGTAAACTCGAGTGTCATGGGGGAGAAGAGAAGGGTCTATTACATGAGGGTGGACCTACTTCTTATATCACCTTTGTTTGTACTTTAGTATGTGACCTGTTGGGTTATGTTCTTAAATGGTACATCCTGTATGTTTTACTGATCTGATATATTAACAAGAATGGTAAGATACAGACGTACCATATTCTTAAATATCCTTCACAGCAAATCATGAATAAATGTATAAGACATACGAAAATATACAGACAACGTAATATATATCTTACATGCAACTCAATGTCACACCTCATCACCAAGCTATACTATGGAGTTCCATCGTAACTTGTATTAATATCAGGACTGAAGTATATAACAGAGAGGTAGGTAATAATGCACACAAAGAGAACCTAAATCTCAAAAAGTTTAAATATTTTCACTTATGTAGTATGTAGACTGGAATATGTGAATTACAAATGAAATTAAAACCCATAATATGAAATATCTATGGCATCTTTAACTTTTTTTAAATACACACATAACAGTCAATACTGAACATCACAACTGAATAGTTAGCACTCCTGCTTTGTGGGTGGGAGATCTCAGGTTCAAATCTCAGCTCAGAAACAGGCTAGCCTTAGACTTATGTGGTTATCCTCAGTCCCTCCAGGCAAATGCTGTGATAGTATCTTAAATGAGGCCATGATTATTCACTAATCATATTATCTTTTGGCACTATACAATCTGAGACAATATCATCATTAAATCAACCATTAATAAATAAAATATAACAGTGAAAAATAAAAATGTCTGCAACCTCCTAGAAGTTTAATGAACCCTATAAATAGGATGTCTTGACCTTGGTCAAAGCAAGTACTGTATCTTTTGTTCAAATGGACAGAATCTCTTATCTTCACTGTGAAAGACAGTAGACAACTGCAAGCCATGCTGCACTAATAACAGCATAAGAGAAGAAATTTCAGTATATTTAAAATTCAAATAAGGAACAAGTCATAGTGGCCATAGTAACAGCATATATGCAATGAATGTGGTGATGAAAAAATATACTGTTTCAGCCATCTATGTTTGCTGGTCTCATCACTTCAATAGAAGAATAAAGTACACTTGAGTCTTGCATTCTAATTTTGACGGCATACATTCATGTTATAAAATGCAAACAGACGACATCAAGTGCAGATGTATTTTAACTGCAGCCTCAGTAGAAAAATAAACAGAGAATCCCAATAAAAAGTTAGTAAAACAGTAAATTTAAGTTACGGACATAAGAATTTAAGAAGCAGGGTGTCATGGAAAATACTGTGGGGATACTGTTGTAGCCACGAGCTGCAACACCATAAACAATTTCTCATTACCAGAAAATGTCCCTACACTGCAATCTAGAGCGATTCTTAATATAAAAATACAGACTAAAATCTTAATACTGTTTGTGGACTGTAACAATCTGTCTGGATAAAATTTGACTCTGACTGGCATCAAGATGGACATAATAATACTACAATGGCATTTAAACTGTCCTCCATTTTAATTAATCTAAATTGATACCATGCCAATATGTATTTATTATCAAGGAAGCAATTAAACTTTGTGTTCAAATTCACAAGTTTTAATAAAAAACTTGATATTTGCAAAAATGGCATGGTAATCATGATATTACAATACTGGATGGATCCATAAATTCATGGTTAAATACACAATATACATACTTACATGGTGGAACACACAAAGAAAAAATGTTGGATAACTCAAAATCCATGTTATTGTCAAGTACAAAAATGCACAAATACTAACTACAGAAAATAACTACAGCATTAATACTTTAAGTGTTCCCTACGAACAGTTTCTAAAGAGTACAGTTCTCTTTCAATTTTTCTGCGTGCATAATATTCAAACATCCATCTCAAATAACACCCATAAACATTTTTCTCCTTCCACAAATTACAGCACATATATGAAATTCAAGAGAATATATCAAATGCTGTGTTCCATCATGTACAAATTCTATTTAACAAGGCAACACAAATATCTGATGTCAATATTAACAAACTTCTATACACAATTTGTTTCAGTATGCATGAGTGAGTAATTATACTATTATAATGTGATCAAAGTAAAGTTGAATACTTCAGAAAGCACATTCATTACATATTATCATTACAAACATTTTCTTCAGAACTATTTTACACATATTATTGATTTGTATGAGATATCAAGAAAATATACCTTTTCATCATATGACTGAAAGAGGAATGAAGAGGAAAAGACTATAAGCTGATGCTTTAGTCTCACTTACGCATACAACATGAACAGAACTTCACACATATAACACTTCTTTCAAAAATTATATTCATATTCAAGGAGTGTACTGAAATATAATAAAAAATAAATAATTGAATGGAGAAAACCCCATCAATGAAAGCCCTAGACAATGACTGGACAGTTACCAACATAACCCTATAAAGCCAAAGTTTCTCTAAATAATATTTAAACATTAAATTCCTACCAAGAAGAAAACACGACACTGCCCCATTACGATGATATGTTAGTTACTGCTGTTGAAACTAACAGATACGTATATGGGAACAATACAGAGTTGTTGAACGTTAAAGTAGGTGCTGCATACACTTACCACTAGGCTTTAAAGGAGTAAGGGCCAAGAAATGAAAGAATGATGAACTAAATTTTTCACACATACGCTGACACTTCGGCCAAAGTCTCTGGGTCCTCTGCTCTTAGGAAACTGGTGCAAAAATTATAAAATGGACATAAGACCAAACCTGCAATTTGACATTTCTAGTTGTGGATTGCATGCTAATGTTTGTATGCATGATTTTATACTTTAGATAAATATTAAACACTGCACGGTATGCAAGGTTTTAAGCAGTCACATTAAGATTATACATAAGAATGCCCATAAAATATCATAAATAAACCCCTAGTAAAAGAACAATGATTCTGAAGATTTCTGTCTTCTGGGATGTTGCGCTGTGTAGTCTGGTCGATGTTTACTCGGAAGACAGAAATCTTCATACTCACCGCTGTGAAAACCTCAAATCTTAAACAATGATTCTGTTAACCACATAATAATTATGTACCATTTTGTAGGCTTCAACACATATTCAGTCTAGAGTAACACACAATTACCAAACAGTATGATTTTGTATGACACATGAAATACCAAAGCTGCTCCATACTCCAAAGTTAGAAACCAAAATGACTGCCTCTTAATAACATTCATCTAAGTTTGACCACCTTAGGAGTATTCCCAAGCAAGACTATGTAATAACTGATATAGCAAAATTTTTGTTTTTCATAGAAATGAAGAGGAAACATAATACTTGGGTTGAAAGACATTTTCTGCCTGTAGAGTGCAACTAAATAAATCTCACACAGAAACACCGTATGAAATGATACTCTTTCTACACCACTAATTTATATTATGTACTGAAAGTTCCTGTGGTGAACCTAATAAATTATCCAAAATAATGGAAATGAAGACAGGATGATGGGTTTGTAGAATAGGTACTATCTATGTGCACCATACAGTGTGTCAACAACCAAAAATATCTGGTCAAAATGTGGACGATTTTCTGGTTCATATTCCCAGCACCTTAACATAAGACGATACATTTCATCTGGAGTGCCTTCTGGTGCAGGCATCCGATAACCTGTAAGAAGTATAAACAAACTGAAACTCAAGACAGGGTAATTTCTGAAGCATCTTGAAGAGTATGTTATGAGGGGGAGAACAGAAAAATCAGAGAAATGTCATGCAAGGCTAATATAATCCATCACATTACAACGAATTCACTTTATACTGCTTGCTTACCAGTGTCTATTTTCTCTCTTGCTTTGGAATTGCTAAGTCCACTGTATGGTGTCCCTCCATGTGAAAATATCTCCCATGCCAGTACTCCATAGCTCCACACATCACACAGGGATGTGTATTTGCCTATGTGAAACAAGATAAATGTGACATGCACAGAATATGCGCAGCTGACAGTCAAACCTTTACTTACGACTTGGCAAGTCAAGGATATCTCAACCTCAGGCATTAGTTTTAATCCTTTCTAGATCAATGTAGAGGCAGAATTTTGGCACCACATTTAATTAATTTTCACCATTAATGCTTTTCCAAATAATTAGGATTTTGTTTCAAGAAGCTACTGAAAAGTTTGTGTGTACTGCTATTTCATAAGTATGTATATGAAACTAGCCTACACTTGAAGATGGCTGTCTTCTGCGCTGTTGTGCCATGTACTCTGGTAGAAGATTACGGACATTTCAAAGGTCCTTGCTGCCTCCATCATCAGGGAGATGAGTCACTCTGAAATGTCGGTAAACTTCTAACAGACTACATGGTGCAATAACCCAGAAGACAGCCATCTTCAGACCAACAGCCATGAAAACCTCAAATCCTGCCAGCCTACATTTAATATTTAAAATTCTTCACATATCATTATTCCATTTCAAAATGTCCTTTAGAGAATTTCAATGCCATTTTCAAACTACATACACATACAAAATTGCCAGGTGAAAAGTGGCACAGTATTTAGAATAAAAATAAAACTGAAGTCTGAAAAGAAGCAGCATACAATGACAACATTGAAGCTTCTTGGCTTGTTACTGGTATTACCTAAATAAATTTGTTTATAGCTAAGAACAGAAGGTATCCAATACCATAACAACAGCTGTCATGTAAAAATCAAATGTTAAAAGACCGTAAAATGTAATCCCTGCAAAATTCATACATTTCAACACTTACTTACCAAAATTCAATGCTTCAGGGGCTGTCCACTTGATAGGAATTTGTTTCATTCCATCTGATACTATGTATTCTTCTTCTTCTCGTGACATTCCAAAATCTGATATCTTCACAATGTTTTCATAACCTTAAAAAGATCAGTTATCAAATATTCATGTTCAGACCTCACAGCCAGCTAAAAGTTCATCAGGTAGCCAGGTGTTTTACAAATTCTCAATGCTGGAATTCTTACTAAACTACAAATGCAGTGGAAGATGGTGTCTTAATAAAAATAAATGCAGATTTGGCACTCCATGAAACAAATAGGTTGTAAATAGCAGTATCCAGTGATAAGAAATATCACTGAATACTGAAGAATTGATGTCTTGTTGTTAACAATATGTTTCTACTGGATGCTGACTATATATTATCAAATAAAGGGAAGTATATACAGTGATTGAAAGCCTTACAGCAAAATATTAGGAGACAATTTGTTATAAACTGTAAATAAATTGTTATTTGATCAACCACCCCTGCTGAGTTACAATGTTTTGCCACATTTTAAGAAAGTGGAATAATTGTTCATTCATACATTTAGTTATGTACACTGAACATCTTTAATGCTTTTCATTACAATAACTGAAAAGCAAGGATTGTGACCTAAACATGCAAGACTATTACAGAAGGAACAAGAGTAGAACAAATGTTTCTGTTTCCCTCATAGATTTTATTTACGCTGGACATGTTTGACATCCTGTCTGTTAACACAGCTATTTCAATCTCAAGCGAACTTATGTTGCTGACAGAGCAGTGTTTTAGTGGGATTAAGTTCAGATGATTTTCATGTAACACTGATACAGGCTGCTGATCTTAATGAATTGTAATACTTTCACAAAAATGGTGAATGATTGGGTTTGAACATATTTAAAATAAAAAAATTCTTAACCTACTTCCTTAATTTTAAAAAGGAACTTAAGCTTGTGATATCACCGTTGTAGTTTCTTGGCTCCACAACCCAGCTGTGGGTTTTCACCGCCTCCTTTTCAGAGGTTTCCTAGTCTTTGAAGTGTGTATTTGTGAGTAGTGAGTGACCAGCCCACTGATTTTGCACAATTTCTACTCAATTCTGATTTGACTGCTACAGCCACCTATTAGTGAATCAGGAGAGACTAGGGTGAGAATCCAACCAATTTTCACCAGACTTGGTATGAACGTGAAACAAACAATATCCATAGCAATCTTCATTCATTACTTTTAAGCTGTTTAACAGACAATTTAGTGGTGGTTACCTGAAGCCTTCTTTATCCAATAGTAATGCTTCTCCTTCTTCTATCATTTCCACTTAAATGGGGTGATGACCAAAAGTGCATGATGGTTTGGTAATCGATACATAAGAAATTACATGATTAAGATAAAGGTGTATCTTACCGACTAGACAATTTCGAGCAGCTAAATCTCGGTGGATACAGTTCTTTGACTCAAGATAGCGCATTCCAGCAGCCGCATCTCGACACATTCCAAGTAATTGTTTCTGTGTCAGACTTCCAGCATGATTCCGCAGAAACGTGAGCAGCGAACCTCCTAAACAAGATTCACACCAAACAGTACAAAACTTAGTTATAACATCTGAGTCACCTCTGAGCAGAATGTAAAGGTTTCTTTATGCAATAGTGGCAATGTAAAATTCCTTAATTTGGGCAAACAATCAAACAGGTTATATGTACCGGACTGTTGAAAATCCTTTAATTCAGCGATAAAAAATACCATACTCTACCACTGTAACTAATCTACCTGTAATTACAGTTAAAAAGTTATTCCATCACAAAGAGAATTAAATCAGCAAAAACGAAAAATTGTTGACAATAATAAAAAAGAATTATTTTGATTCACATTTTCCTTTTCAGAATTACATACCTGGTACCAGCTCCATTACAATCATGATAGGCTGTTTCTGGACACAAATGCCAATCAATTTTACAATGTTTGGGTGGTCATACTGCTTTAGTATACGCCCTTCTTGCAGGAACTTCTTCTTGTGTTCATCTGGTAGAGTCATGCGACATGTTTTCACGGCCACTTCCTTCTTGCCAGTCTTGAGATGTGCTTTGTACACATCTCCAAAATTGCCCTGAATCAACATCATCTACAGTCAGCAACATTCAATCTTTATTACGCAAACAATTACAAAAGCTGGAATTTATCAATCATTTTCTTGTAAAAATCTATGTGAGAAATGTCTAACTAATAAAGACGTCAGAATTTATCCTTTGGAAAGATGCAGACAATGTTTGAGGAATATGGAAATGGGAACTTGGAAAGATATATAGGTCAAATGAATAGGAGTCATGAAGATAAAGTACAATTTGGATGTAGTAAGAATACATGAGGTCAGAATGATGAAGGTAGTCATGTAAAGAGAATATTTATTTTGCAACAAAGAAAAGAATAAGAATCAGAAATTGAAAATGGGCTCTTCTGTAAAGACTTGGAACAGAAAAAAACAGAGTTTGTTAATGTTAGGGTGTTGTAAAAACTGAAATTCTCTTGGACCAGCAGCTTGAATGTGCAGAGCCCAACTGATAATGAAAATAATGTCAAAGATAGTTTTTAAGAAGAATTACACTGTGTATTTAATCAGTCTGGTAGACACAACATAAAAAATTTGCTAGATGATTTTGGCGCTAAAATCAAATGGGAAGATATGGAAACCAATTTCAGGGAATAAAAGTTTATCTAATGAAAGTACTTGCAATTTGTCTCAGCTTTTTTTAAAACGAAATGTACGAAAATAATGACATTTCTTATTTATTAAGACAAATTTATGGATATATATTCCTGTTCACTAAATTCCATTATGTATTGCCATGTGCTGCATAATGCTCCAAAGCTATATCAGAATATGCAGCTAATGGCAAAAATACGGGTAACAAGAAATAACTTCAATTAAATTAAGTGATATGAATCTAATATGGTAAATTTAATAAATAATTAATTAATCAGTCCTTTAGTGTCAAATAAGAGTATACTAATGTAATAAAGCTATCACAACAGGCATCATTTGAAATTTTGCTTACCCTAACATTTACTCTGACTCAGAAAAGCAGCTTAAGTACAACACAAAATGTATCAGTTCCTTACCCGCCCAATCTTATCCAGCAGAACAACATCATCATTGTTGAGTTCCCAGCGTTCTCTTAAAATGGGTTTTCTCAAAACAGCACCAGACCTTCCCGTGACAGGCAGACCACTTTGGTACTGATGCAGTATAAGTTCCTGTATTGTCGGGAATGCTGGTCCTTCAAACCGGAAGTGACCCTGTGGGGAAGTTCACACATTCTGTATAGCCAACGTATCAGATATCCTAGAAATAAGTTTATAGTTGCTCACATGTCGATGGTATTGTATCGGCAGTGCTTGTAGATGAATGTAATCTACATTTTAATACAGATTCCTAACACCAAAATAAACTGATGCTTCTGTGTACTATAGATAATCATCATTGCTGCTCTGCATGCAGACCTAGACAAATATTCATGTTTATCTCATTAACAATTCACAATATGAAAGACATGCAAAAAAATTACACGATTCAATGAGATGAACTTACCTCTGCTGTAGTCTGCACAATGAAATGTTTGTGCCCACCCCAGCACACCGACAAAACAGTCTGACACTCATCATTTCTGGTCGTTTCCCTTACTAGGAAGTCTCCTTCATGTGTCAACAGCCTCACCACCTCTTCACGAGGCAAAACACCATGAAACCATTCCTCGTCCACCAGTGGTCGATGAGCAGACAGTGACATCTGTGACCACGCATATCACGTACGTTTTCAATAAATAAAAATGTAATTCGAAAGTACTATATCCAAATCCTCCTCATATCAGAATCCTCTACCAAAATAAAACAAATGCTAACTCAAATATAAACAGACTTTTTACTTTTAACGGCAAAGAAAGAACTGATAACACATGTTTGAATTTTTTAGCTTCCAAATAAAAAGCTTTTACAAGACTTTTACACAGATTAATACAATGTACAGAAATAAAAAAAAAAATTAACTTCAATTAGCTTACTGTTCTTTACTTAAAAATAAAAATTTGGATGCTATAGTTATCACAACTGTATTCTAGGTCAAAGTTACTTATCTTTTTAAAAAAATGTACTGTAAGAGATTATAAATTTCCTAAAATAACCAACCAACTAGGTGGAACCCGAAGGTTCATCACCGAATTAACCAAAGCCCTCTACTGATCTCTGTTCTGGACCAACAAAATCCAATTGCCTTCAACTCCTATCTCCCACAGATCCCACTTGATATTATCCTCCCATCTACGTCCAGGTCTCCCCAGCAGTCTCTTCCCTTCGGGCTTCCCAGCCAATACTCAGTGCACACCTCTCGCCCCATGCCCTGCCCATATCATTCTTCTTGACTTGATCACCCTGACAATATTGGGGGAGTAGTACAAATTTTTTAGCTCATCACTATGCAGTTTTCTCCATACCCCATCCTATTCTCTCCAAGGCCCAAATAACCTACTCAACACCCTTTTCTCAGACACCTGCAATCTGTGTTCCTCTCTGAGAGTAAAAGATCATGTTTTGTACCCATACAAAACAACAGGCAAAATTATTTAGTATATTTTAATCCCAATTTATAAAGCCCACATTTGTCAATTTGTGAAACAGACATATTCCTGATATTTTCATACACTGACATTTCACTTATCAAATTACTTTCCCCATTAGTATTTTTAAGAAAATAACTGATTCTTCAGCACTAACATTTTAGATTGTGAAAGAATTTATTGTCATTATGACAAACAGGAGCCAAATATTATAAAATCTTGTCCACATTACATAAAAATGCAACTTTTGTGGTCTCCTTTCCACACCAATATTGCACAATGAGAATTATGTGTTGAAGACAGCAAAACCAACTGAGACTTGCATTTAATGCAATTAACTTCAATCCAATCCAAACCCCTAAACCCTATTTCCATATGAATATTCTACCTTTACATTTCTCTTGGTATTTAAAACTGAATGAGTGGTTTCAATTTCCCCAGGGTATCATCTGCCATTGTTACCATCCTTCCTGACCCTGCCATCCTTAAGAAAAAACTTGTAACCCATTTCTGAGGTGCACCCACAATTATACCTGATGGTCAATTTTTAACATGGGTGCCAAGCCACAGTGGCTGTTACTTGTCTTTTTAATTTTACACTTTCCCTTTCCTTTAAATATGCAGAATGTTTAGAGGCCATCTGGAGGGATGCAAGAAATATTTTTTGATAGGTGCATTTCTGCAAACAACTCCAATCATGTACAACTGACAGAAAAGGTCAGATAAACAAATAAAAGTTCTAATGCATTGTTAAGAAGTACGTACATACATACATACATTATTCGGCTACCTAAAACCAAACATTTCAAATTTGGAAGCTTCTAAAGCAAGATCTTTTAACACCCCAATTCTGATTAGTCAAACTGCACATATAAAATTTATTCACCTTGCACCATCTATTCACTCTAGTCCATAAAATATTTATCTTACATATGAGTACAATACAATCAAATAAAAATAAAATGAAGCCTTCACATGTCTCTAAAAATAACTGTAGCATACCTGAAACAGAGCAAAGCATAACAAACACAATTTCCAAACATATCGCTCTCATATATCAATGTATGAAGGGCCTGTCTTATCCCAAAACAAGATCTACTTGCATGCTCTAGCAAAAATGCCCATCATACTTTTCTTAAAACTAAACATACCAGTTAGTTACTAGTATAAAGTTTATCAACAATCAACTTGTTATAACAATCTCAATGCAACATGCCTGCATGTGAAACAAAAAAAGGTCCTAGTGCTTGTTAAACCACTCATAACATTCATAAGGTACCACTTACTACATTACAAAGTAAAGGGCACAGCCATGGGTGCTGCACACAAGATGAATTATAATACTATATTCAATAAAATGTGTAATTCATGTAAAAATATGTCAATCCATTAACTTTTAAATGTGGCATATTACCACTTTAAGCATTAAAGTCAGGAATTTCATCCATGTATGGATCATCAACCGCGGTCACCAGATACATATTTAACACTTTCTGTTTATAAATTTTTGTGAAAAAATTTCTAAAAACTGTTTATGTACTGATTGCAACATTTTTTAATAATTGATACTAATGTACTATAGGATTCAAATATGTACCACATTAATTTCTGGAATAAAACGCTGAATAGAAATTCATGACATATTCTGCACCCTTGTCTGTCCATTAAATTGTTTTGTCTATAGTTCAGCACTCCTAAAGAAGAGGTACATTTTATTGAATTATGAAATATGAGCAAATTAAATAATTTGACACTCTGTAACTTCCACATATTATTGATACACTTAACAATAATAATACTGACACACAAAATAAACTACATACTATCAAATGTTAAAACTGGGACCTTTTCTTGTAGACAAATCTAAGCTAGCAAATTCTTCAGATTAAACTACCTACTGAAATGCAACTACAGCCAAAACCTTCATTAGTAATAAAATATTAGAAAAGCTGCAAATCGTTCTACAAACACCTGAGAATTAGCAAAACTCTACCTATTTCCTGCTTCATTTTTTCCTACAAAGACATATAAAAACCATTATTATTAATCATCTATCTATAACAGCAGCAATCAGTAAATTTGAAACCACACAACATACATGAAAACGCTTATTCTCAATGAACATTACTGTTAATTTTAAAATTTTGCACCATTTTTATGGAACTTATTTAAAATAATTCCTTATAAACATGGTGTCAATGACATTCACAGGAAAAATCATTGCCTGGCAGTGAATAGAAAAATTTTAACATACACCCAGACAAATATAACAGAAACAGTTCTTTGGTATCCGCTTTATCCCAGTCTTGTTAATTTCATAACACCTGTACAATACACTACCTGATCAAAAGTATCTGGACACCTACGCGAAACTGTCCTCTAAGTGTCCCTCGGATTTACCGCCCAGTAGTGGACATTAATACGGGGTGGGCCCACCCTTGGCATTTATTACAGCTCTAACTCTGCGGGGGAGACTGTCTACCAGGTGTTGGAACGTCCGCCTTTCTAGTTCATCCCAGAGGTGTTCAATAGGATTGAGATCGGGGCTCTGGGCTGGCCAGTCCATTTACGGAACCTTATTGTTCACAAACCACTCACGAACAGACCCTGCTTTATGGCAGGGAGCATTGTCATGCTAAAACACACGGTTATCATCTCCAAACTGGTCTTCTACCGTAGACAACATGCAGCTGGTCAAAATGTCCTTATATCCTTCCGCCTTTAACGTGCTCCATAGTATTACGAGAGGACCAAGTCCCTTCCATGAAAAACACCCCCACACTGTCACCCCACCTCCGCCAAATTTCACTGTGGGCACTATACAGGCCAGCATGTAGCGTTCACCTAGCATTTGCCACACCCAAACCCTCCCATCGGACTGCCACATGGTATAGCGTGATTCATCACTCCAAATCACGCGTCTCCAGTCGTCCACAGCCCAGTGGCGGCGCTCTTTACACCACTGAAAGCGGCTTGCATACTGATGTGGCAACCAATAACCATACCACGTTCGAAGTCACTGAGCTCCCTTGCTCCACCCATTCTGTCGGTATCGCGTAGCACTGATACTTTTGATCAGACAGTGTACATTCCTAATGGTAACAGCTAATTACATTCTTTCAACTGCACAGGTCACAAAACCAAATGACATGGAAAGATGATTATAAATGTCAAATACGTAATGATTTGGAAGATGTGGTTACACCTATATCAGGGTAATATCCCAGCCCTTGTCTACAGACATTCTCAGGCCAGACGGCCAGGGGGCTGGAGCTTATTCAAATCAGGTGCCCCCAAATACAAGCCTAAAGCACTACTCCTATATAAACCTGTCTAGTATAATTTCTTCCAGACTGTATTTGGTTCATTACAGGCGTCAATTTAGCAAGTATTTAGATTTGTCCATGAAAAACATGAATGTATAAATTTCATGCCAAACTAGAGAACAGATTCGGATTAGGAAAAAAACATCAATTCTTTATTTAAAATATTATACCAATCTTCCTTACTTGATTCCTGCCACCAATTCATTTTTGTACTTTTCAGATTAAGGACAAATTTGTGAACTACATGCTTTACAAATCAAGAAGTGTAGACATGTCTATTTTTCCTCTAAGAAAATATGATTATGGTCCTTCAGGGGGACACTGTGAAATGAAAGCTGTTTCTAAAATATAAACTATCAATTTATTTTTATACTTATGTGGATGGCTGCAATTGGTTAACGTTAGTGTAATTAGCTTACCACAGTATAACCACCATCAATAGATGAGCTGTTACTGGTAGAATGGGAATCAGGTGTAATAGGAATGAGTGTTATTTCAGCAGCATCATCACGATCACCATAATCATCATCATCAGCACCACCACCACATACTTTCTCATCATCAGTAGTCTGGGAAGTGTTTTTCTCCTCTTCCCGTCCCTCCCCTGCACTGCGAGGGGGTAAAATAGGGGAGGAAGGAGCAGATAATCTGCGGAACGGTTTGCGAAGGATTTCTACTAAGCGCTGTTGATGCTGTCTTTTCAAAGTGAATGTTGAGGAGGAGCGTTCACCACCCTGGAAAGTGTTACATACCCTATTATTCTCACTGTTTTATTCGTTAATGATGACAGGAAGCAAAAGGATCAGTAAGCTGATCACAATGGGTCTTCAAAACTTGAGATTTTTCAGTAGTGTATATAAAAACAAATAAAACTAGTATTTTCTAGAAAAAATGCATTGAAGCAAAGACTTTTCCTTTAGCCATGACATATTTTCTTGCATTGTATAGTACATGTACTATACAATGCAAGAAAATATGTTTCACTAGATTAAATTATGGTACCTTTCACTGAGAAAAGTACTGATTTCGTTGTTTTATTTTGCCATTTTATTAAATTTTTCAATAAAAATGTTTTTTAAGTACTACTTCACATTTTATCACCATTCTTGACAGGGAATATGTAAAAGAGCAATATATTACCAGATTAAGCAGTCTTCTTCACCTACTGAAGCAAAATATTTTAGGCAGTGGTTTTTATATGTATACTAACATAACAAACGGAACATGACTAACAAAGTCAAATTCTGCAGAACCAATAGCACTAATGCAAAGATGTAAGCTATTAATCATACCACCATGAATGCAAAACAAGCACCCAACTGTGCCATAACCCACTGCTGTTACTGAAAATGAAAATATGGTCAGATGCCTAGTGTGGTCCAATATCACTTACACCAACTACATCGATTAGAAGAAATTACTATGCATGGCCATAAGCTTTAATCCCAAAGTAATAGTCTATCTGTATAATGTTGGGCAACAAGATCTGCCCAGGAGAACAAACAGATATTCCAGTGATATTTTGAAATGTCTTTTCAAAGAAATCATTTAATTTCACAAGTATTCATTCAATTTCTTGGTATGGTAGTACCTTCCCATCTTCCAGGTATTGAATTTTCTGCAGTAAAAATATATAATGAAGTCAGAAATTTCAAACAAATTACTTCAAATTAAATATAAACATAAATATAACGATAATAATAATGAAACCAAATTCCAAATTCTTGTAAACCCTTACTCTGATAAGTGTTCTACAATTTCTTACATACGAAATATGTTTATGGTGACATCCTTTTAATTTTGCATAAGCTGGTTTTTGCCTTCATATACAATCAATGTAAACACACATTAATTAACCATATAAACCCACGAATTTCCTACTTTTCCCACTCAAATACTTTACTACTAGAAAGTAATAGCCATGAACGAGATTTGGACAACTTCAGTTGCCCCAGGCACTCTGACCATGGGCATGTCTCATCAAAGAACAAACAGAACAAAGATATTATACAACAGACATCTTTTAACAAATCCTACAAATTTGAGCATCAATGCAGTATATGCTTTACTTCTTAAACTATAACCGAACCAACTTACCAATTCCACTGCCAAAATATGAAGCAAATAAAGAGAAGGAAGAGAATGTTTAGTGCATAACACATTTTATACAGCAAACAGAATGAAAAATTACAGCATAATTTTCCTTACATTACACATGAATATGACAAGCTTAATAAGTTCTGATTCAACACCTAAAATTCAATTCGTCAGAGCCTGAGTTAGAAATGTGGAATACTGCAACTGATGCCTATTTAATATGTGGAAACAACAGTGTGATATGCATTCAATATAACATACTTCAAGTAAAATTAAATTCTGATCCAAGATGGGAAAATTAATATGCTACTTCTTACTGAGTTAACATTTGTATGATATACGTCTAAACTTTCAATACTATAATTGTGAAACTTGGGAAGAACAAAATGTGGAGGAGACAGAAAATAACAAGATGAAGAAAAAATTACATAGACAGGGGCTTCATAATTTCTAATATTCACTTAGTGATAAATCAAGGAGCATAAGATGGGTGGGGCATATAGTGAAGTGGTACACACGGGGGAGGTACAAAATCTTATTCAGAAAGCCACAAGGGAAATATCACTTTGTAGACACAGAAGCAGACAGATGGGTAACATTCAAATGGAACTAAAAAAACTCAGGTATGAATTAGGTTCGATGGCAGTCTATTGTGAACACATGAATGAACCTTCAGGTTCCATACAAGGAAAAGAACTTATTGGCCATATGAACAACTGTCAGCTTCTCAAAGACTTTTCTCCGTGGAGTTACTCAGCGAGTCATAGTACCTGTTGCTGCTCTGTGTTGGGTGTCCCCATATTGGTATGGTTATCCACAAAGGACGAGTCTATGGAGAGGTCACAACCAGGTGGCACTTCTTCACAGCCGAGTTCACTAAGCGCACTTTTGATCACCTCCACCTGATGCTGCATTTCTCTCTCCCGGCATCGTAGCTCTTCTAGTTCTCTCCTGCCATGATCCACCCTGCAAGAAAACCATCTCACTTCCATACCATAAGTGGTTTTAGCATTCTCAGGTAAGCTGTGTATGGCATCAGGTATCATATTTCCATCACACACTGTCACTACAACAGAAACTATCTCTCTAAAGTAATGCAAGGTTAGAATGTACTGTAGAGTTTCATGGATCAATGACATCTGAATGGTTATACCCTGGCAAATCTTACATGAGTCTCTAAGCTAAGACATGAACCAGAGACCTCCTGAATAAGAAGGAGTGCTATCGACCTGACCACAATGTTTGATCTCCCCATACTATTAATATTATTAACAAAGCTGTTACAATTACATTTGCATCACTTATAAACTGTAACAAAATGTCATTTCTGCAAGTGTTTACATTATCAGTTAGCATACAAGTAGCTTACATGATTGTCAACAGCACACTACATTCACTTTCTCCATATAGCTTACCTTGTAAGCATGTCTACGTGTGTATTCTTGTTGTTAGCAAGATCAACATGGGAACTGTGACTGGCCTGTTTCTCCTGCACTTCCTTCACACTGGACTCTAGCTGCACTAACTTTGCTCTCAACCATTCTATAGTTAGATTGTCCACTGTCAGCTGGCTTGGTAACAACTTTCCTGATGTGTCCTCAACAAGACTGTTATCAAATGTGAAGAGAACTGGTGATGCCGGAGCTGTTCTGCAATACAACAAATACTAGAAATATTTTAGGGCTCCAAATAAGTAAATCTTCCAAGTTTTAATGATATGCATACTATAAACTTATAAAGTTATAAGGACTCATCAGTTATCATCATGATACAAAAATATTTCCTCTATCTAAATTACAGTCGTCTGTGCTGTGACATCATGTGGTCTCACAAGTGGTAATTGGCAACGAAGATTTCAGATAAACTCATGCTTTGCATAAAAATGAAACGCACTGAACCCTGAAAGTTTACACAATGCACTTGTGAACTGTGGTGCCCTGGGTTGCAATGTCATGCAATCTCGTAGGCAACTAGCTACCTACAAGACCACATGGGGTCACAACCGAGAAGACCATAATCCACATTTTCACTGCCATGAAAATCTCAAACAACATATTATAATACAATTTGTTATTAACATTTGCATTTTATTAACCACAACACTTGCATTCTTCATAATGGATAAATAAAGCCATGCAGCCATAATAGTCAATATGGGTTCAAAACCAGCGATGTCTCTGCTTAAAAATAATTATAATTTCAGCATAGTAATCATCTATGTCCAATAGAAGTCATCAAGGCTTTTTGGTTCCATAAGTACTAAATTCTGTTTCAGCAAACTTGACCTTGGGCAACTGGGAAGGGGAAAAAAAAAGCAAAGCAAAGCAGCAGCAGCTAATTTTTAAAGTCACAGGACATTTTCTTATTTACATCATCAATTTCTTCCACAACACACAGTGCAACAGTCATTTATGAATATTATATGATTGTTCAACTATAATGCACTCATACATGACCACATGAAACATGAGAATTACTTGAAGTTACAATTTTCCATTGATGAACTAGAAATTTGATAAGAATTACAGTTTAAAACATACTTGTTCTTCTCTGTAAAGTCTTTATACTCTTGGTTTGGTTTGATGGCTTCTAAACTGGTCTCCACTCTACTCTGTGCATCACGAAACTTTTCAGAACAGAGACTTGTGTACTGTGCTACTTCCTCAAGGACGGTTCGCCTGAAATATAAAAAGGAAAATGTCACATTTCAAGTCTTTCTTGGACAATACTTTGAAGTTATTCTTAAACTTTACACATTCTATAACCACCTTTCTTACACTTGTTTAATCCATTGTACAAGGGTTAAAAATTATTACAAGCAATGGACCACTGTGAGTTATTCAGTGCTTGTAGACATCAGGGATTCATTTTTCATATGCATCACAATTATGTCATAATCATTACATTCAACGGAGAACTTCACCATATGATTCCATTATATGAAAAAAAATTTAACTAATATTACCTTAATTTCTTTGAAGACTTGGCTTCAGATACTGAGCATGAGAAGTCTACATCTGATCATATATTTATCTTCAAAATGGTATTTTTAAACATATGAAAACATAGTACATCAACATAGAACCTTTGTATTAGTATATCAGTATGTAACCCATCAATGCTTATGCAAATAACTTTTCATGTTAACAATTCACAGTACTATTAGTCTCCCATTACCTTCTCATTCTTTTCATTGGTCACCTTCCAAGAACTTATGCCGTAAAAATTTGGGGGAGGGGAGAACAGAAACAAAGATTACAGAATATACTCACCAAGAAATAATAAAGGCCTCCTGAACAGCTTCTTGATGGTCAAGCAGACCTGGAAGAAGCACTGTACGAAAGTCTCGCTCATATTCAGCTGCCTCACATAGCAACAACACATATTCATTGTGTGTCAAGTGAAGTTTGCGACATGCTTTCTGGTATTTATCTCGCACATCATCCAGCTTACGACCACCTCTACCAGCTGTTACAAAATGAAAAATCAACATCTTCACGTAGATACAAAGGATAATAATGAATCTTGGAGAAATAGATTAATAAAATGTGAACTGGTTGAGGAGGTAGTCCAACTGTGGGATTTTCTGATGACGAAACTTCAGGACCATTGTAGGAAAAAGGCATATATCACTAGCAACTTTACATAAACATGAACCTAAATTTCAAGAATGTTACGTAACTGACAGAGCAACAAATATGTATTATGCTACCACCATAAAAGTGAATGTTTTATTTGCAACTAGCTTAAAATGGTGTCAAAATTGTTAACAATTTGCATGGCAATACTGCAACTAACTACATAACAGTAATATATGATGTGCATTAAATTATCAGAATTTTATTCTTGGCAAATATTGAAACCCCTCTCAAAAACAGGTAATTTACCATGGACTTCAAAAGAGAAAATGCTTTCAATTCATAGTTAGGGGTGCAGGATTCCTCTTCAAATGACTAGCAATAGTGTCCTATAAAGTAACAAATTTTCATGTAAACTTTTATGTCCTATAACAGAGTTTTGATGAAACCTGACATCTGGCACTTCTATTATATGAATGCTGACATCTGCAAATTCAATCCACTTAATTAATTTTAAAGCCCACTTCATCTACACATCTAAATACACTTCTAGTTACATCTCAAAAGAAAAATAGTAGCAGAAATAGTTATCATAAATGCCACTTCATATTCACAAATATCCTAATAGTACACCCCAAAACATGTGTCCTATATTTCAATAACAATATCCACCAGCAGACTGAAAACTTGAAACAGATCCAAAGGACCATTTGGAATTCATGACATAAGTCACCTCTACCCATGGCCATTGCTGTAAGTAAAACGCAAAGGCTTTTGCTTTTATCTTCTGACATTCAACATACAACTGTCATCATTTCTGAGATATAGAAGCATATACCATACGAAGAGCAGACAGATATCACATGTAAATGAAACATTCCTTTCTAATGGCCATTCTAATTAGCAGCTAGTGACGTTACTTGTACAGTAATAACTTGGACGATGGTGATTAGAAGTACAATAATATGAAAATTTTAATGTTATATAAGTTTATCTGCATCCGTTACACTGGATGTCTCCATTAATAAGCATTATTAAACACTATGCCATTACTTACATTTAATATAGTGCTCCTCAAACCTTGATCGCATGAGTTTGTACAACTCCAGGTACTTCTGATATTCTGTCTTCTTTCGAGCTACATCCTCAGTAAACTGAGAAGATAAATTACAGAATGTAAAGTAAATATTACAAATAAAAACTCTTGAACACAGTGCTCTGTATAAGAATATGTATGCTATTATTACCTTTCTTATCTTAACGAGGCAAACTAATTAGGCTCATGAGATCATAAAGCTTTCTATGCCTATATCAACTTCTAGCTTTTGAAACAATTTATAGACTTACCGATTTCCTATGAACATTATGGCATATGAGCCCACCCCAACCTGTTTTTTTAATGTTATGCTGTCAGCATCATAAATTTTCTGATAACTTCTAATTATTACTGAAATCATATTTTATTCTGAATGTTTGTCAAGCAAAGAAGAAGTAATGGGCTTCAAACATTCAGGCTTTGTATAGTGATGGTGGTTGTACATAACACTGTACTGACATGAAATACCATGTATCTCAAAACTTATGAAATTAAAATTTATGGATGACATTGTTCAAAACACTTTGATTTCACTACCAGTGACAAACCCAGCTATGATGGATAAAAGTATACCTTCCATACAATGAAATACAAAGTGCATCGAAGGTTAATATATTCATATTTCAAGTGTCAAATGGTCATGAAAACCCACGTCAAATCAGACGGGAGTGAGTCATCAATATAAGATTCAGCAGAAGAGAGGGAGATATATACACAAAGATTGTTATTTCCAGCTCCAAAAATGCTTAAAATTAACATACGCTGAAAATATATATTCATAATCCATAATAGAAAGAAGATGCAACTCTACAATTTGTTGGCTGTTTGTTTATTTTTAACATCCAATTAATCAATTTAACGCTGTATTTCCTCCGTCAGTATTAATAACAAAAGGAAATAAAGGCAACCTCCTTGCAGATTCATTGTAACGAACAAAGTGAACTGATGCCATCACAGTAAAAAAGTTTTGCAAACTTGGGGATAATGTATAAACTACCAGAATATTAGAATGTGTAACACATACTTTCAGCTACAGCAGTTCCCACTGCATGGGCGAAGTATACATCAAAAATGCATCACACGTTAAACGCGTTAAAGTCAAACGTGACGGCTTTCACGGTATGTACAAATAACGGATCACCCAACCTCTCGGCAGACCATTAGACGCAGTGAGGTCTGACAATTAAATAGCCGGACTGATAATATAAAACACTGTATCAAACCTTCGCCAGCGTGGTCCCTTCACAGCACTCGCATGGTGACTAGACATGCCTTCCAATACTTCTACCATGCCTAAAAACACCGCTGAAAGTAATTTCCGGAAAGTCTCTTCAGTACTACCACAACACTGTTTAGTTTCGGAAACATGGACAGGTGACAGGGTCAAATATTTCAAAACTGATATTTTTCTTTCTGAAAAAAGTATGTAACGAAAGTGGTATACAGTATGCCATGAAGCAAAATCCAGTTGTCTGGCCAAATTCTATTTTTTTTAACTGATACGCTGTCGCAAACGTTCCGAAACTTGACAGCACGTTTGGTTGATGATTTTGGAAACACGAATTCGTGATATAAAAGAAAAAAGGTCAACATGGTTTTCTACCTTTGATTTTAACATATGCGCTTTTCGCGGTCTAAACAGACTAACCTGGTAGGAGACCGTGTAGCGTTTAGACTCCTAACAATCACCAAACACTATCTCCCCCTCCCCCAGATTGGAATATTCAAACAATCTTTCTGAAAGTTAGACGCACTTTGCGTGAAATAAATACAAGTACACAATTAAATGAACTCGAAAATATAACGACACGCGATCTAGACGTAGCAATACAGGCGTGCTGGGAGTTTTTGCGCAAATACATCTGACCGGTTATTTAATTATCAGAATTCGTAAGTACATGTTTCCTCCAAACTTTGACCCTGACCTCACAGCCAAACTGGTTCATCTGTCATTTGTTTCTTCAGGTCACCTTTTTTCCGGACGAGAGAAGCGTTGGAAAAAACGTTTGTGGGGAACCTTCTAATTTAGGAATCTATTAAAGGTACCAAACTATAGCATGAATAAATATTTGAATGTACACCGCAGTTCGAGTAAAAGAACGGAAATTGACGAGATAGTATCCGCACGATTCATCTCCAAAACTAACATAAGGATTTAAACTAAGGATAGCTGTCTTCTGGGTTGTTTCCGAAAACTTCTACCGAAATACAATGTCCAACAAACCAGAAGACAGCCAACTTCAAACTCACTGCCGTGAAAACCTCAAAACCTACCGATTTATATCAAATTGTATCTGGGATCTACATAAAAAGTTGTCGAATTACCTATGGTTTGTACCAGATCAATGCAAACCCCCCTCTTTACACAAAGTTCAGAAACACGAAATTGACAAAACCAAGAAAATAGCAACGACTGGCGAACTGTTATGTCTAAGTGTCAATATCACCATCGATTTTTCTCTTGTGGCTCTGGATTGATGTGACCTACTGTACATTTGGCAGTACTCCTTGGACAGGTTATAGGCCCGCTTGGCTGAGAAGTTTGAAAACTCATGCTTCAGATGTTTCTCAGCCTTTATCTTTGGCACAGTAGTCACAATTCTGAAATTAAAAGCACAACGAGCAGCCGGGGGCGGGGGTGTGGAAGCACCCTCTGCAGATAGGGAGGTTAGAGGGTCCTTGCCCAGGGAAATTTTTGAAAAAAAACTTACTAAGCCATCAGCACAAAAAGAACAAATACTTTTTGTAAAATAATCGGACAATTTATGAACTGTGACAATAAAGAAACTAAATTATTATTTCATAAAGAAATGTATGTATACAAAATACTTCATTCATAATGAGCGCGTGGTCAAAATCGACAGAAGATGCAAGCTTTGTTTAAAATTTTTGACACAGTTATCCAGAATTTTAAAACAACGTTCACTTATATAAAGCGCGGCATAGCCTTTGGTTAACACTGATGTAAATATTTCGTCATGTGCACTCACAATCAGTGACAAAGGAATGACCTTGTTCAATAGTAGTGGTAGGTTGCATATAAACACTATCTGAACCATTAATAACAATACTGATGGACCTTCCCTTCTCTACATTACAACGCCACGGTTCTGAAATTCTTGGAACGTGTCATTAAGATTCTTTTGTGATGTAACGACCCATATTCTGACTAGGACATGTTTCCAATATTGACTGAGTGCCAAAACGTCTTCACACACAATGCAATACCGTTAAATTACAATCCAAGAATGAATAGGAAACAAGACGATTCAAGTACAGTACAGCACAGCAGAGACCATTCAAACTGGAAATGTGATCCCCAAGGAAATAAGTCTGAATTGTTAATTAACATAGGGCATCAATCACATTCGAGTGTTTTCCCAACTTGGTATAATAAACCAACCAGGATAAGTACCTGTATAAGCAAAGTGATGGAGGCTTATGAGAAAAAAACAAAAAAAACAAAACAACAACAGCACAATGACCAGCTAGCCCCTCACTTATTCTGAGCCAGATGAATGAAGTCCACATAAATGACTAAACAAAGCACCATACTGCATCATAATGCAAATGGTACTAATGAAGACAGAATCTGTTTTTACTACCAAATGGGTCAACATATTGATACCATATGCCCATTTTGCCATAAATAATAATAAATAATGAGGTACACAGTATCATCATATATGTGACTCAAATCTAAAAGTTTGTGACGATGGTGCGTTTTTAAAATAAAAAAGTTTTCTGGATGTTTTCCATCATATAATAAAATCATAAAATTGCATGACATTTCGGAGATGGGACTCTATCTCCGTCTTCAGATGTACCTACTCAGTTGGGCCCAATCGACAGAGCTAATCCCTATCTCCGAGTCCGGACTGCTGACATGTAAAAAAATTTCATCAAAAATTTCATACAGGATTTGAAATATGTCTGAGCTGTTTCCTAGAAAATTGGTGGGAGGTGTTGCAGCAACCAGCATGGAATATGATGCCTTCAAACAGCAACTACAGGGGCAATATCATCAATATCGTAATTTGTACATGTGTGCAAACAGTTGTATCTCTGTGGTAATAAATTCTGCATCAGTGTCCCTGTTTACCAGGCTTTTAGAACATCCTTCATGACTGAATTAACTTGTCCCTGTGCTTAATTAAGCACCATACCATAAGGCCATGGGCAAGGTGAGAAGTCAGCTTCATGCCTTAGCTGCTTTGTCCAGAGCTGATCAACATGCGATGGTAAAGAGAAATATCCCTGACACAAATAATTTTCTGAAAGATGGACTAAACACATCACTGGCCAGACAGAACCTAATTACAATGTCTGAGAGACAACTTCTGTAAATAATGAACAGCAGAATGAAAAATGAACTCACATGGGTAAACTGGGCAACAATTCTGTTGTGTTCCTCCTGATACTGCTTCCTGGCTCTCCGTTTTTCAGCGTAAAGGGAGTTTAATTTATCTAAGCTCTTGCTCTCTAATGAGTCTGCATTATGTTTGATTAGCCTTGCAGTGTTGTCCAATTCTTCCAGCATGTTCTTCCATGCCTAAATCAATTTCCACATGCATCATATATGCCATACCATCCATAAAATATAACAAGCAGTTATAAACACAAAACACTAAATCTTTTTTCTATTATCTTCTGGGCTGTAATGCCAGGTGGATTTGTGGGTAGATTTCAATGCTTCGGCGGAATATATATTTTACAATAATGTTCATATTCATCCTGTGCCTACTATAATTTAACCTATAATTTTTTAAACAATTGCCATCCACCACTCTTAACACTCCTACCAAGTTTAGAAACCACTGTGTAAAAGTTTCATACAGAATATGCTTTGAATGCAAAGAGTATTAAATGAGTCTCTTTATGAAATACTGTGCACTTTCCACAGGTTTTTAAACAGCTACTTACCTGTGCAACTAAACTTCCAACCAAATCCTCTGCCCGTTCTAGTTTTTGTCCTTGCAATGCCACAGATGTAATGGCCACAGCATACTCACGATCACACTTTACTTTGTTAGCTAGACAACGTCGCATAGTATCCAACAGACGAAGCTCTGCATCTTGCCGACAGAGCAAAGCTTCATGAGCAGCCTTGCTCTGAAGGTTTGATGAAAACCCCATCTGAAGAAACAAAACAATCACACATATTTTAAATTTACACTACGTAGTTATAGTCCCAATTAACTAAATACAAAACACCTTGTACTGAACTGGCTAAACTCTGCAACCCTTGTGAATTTCATGTCCCATCTTACTTCGGGAAGTCAGACAATAAGAAATTGTAATGTGTATGAATAAATCATTGCATGGGACATACAAAAATCAGCTGCAGATGAAATATATGCTCAGGCAACTAACCTAAATTTACTAAACTGGAGCCAAACATTATGCCAACAGAACAATGGCAAGTGAAAGGTTCAACATTTGGTCATGTTTTTTTCATATATATATATATATATATATATATCAATAATCTGCCCCCAAACATTAACTCTCAGTCTAAGCCTATACTTCTTGCTGATGATACTAATATAATGATTATTAAACATCCAAAAATTGACTGTTTCCAAATTTGAATGAGTGATGTCATTAGAAAACTTAAAGAAATGGACTAAAGCCAATAAACTTAAATTAAATTTTGACAAAACAAATTTCGCGAAATTTTATACTACCAACAAAAATTATGTTAATCTAGGTACATGGTATGAAAGAAAAACAATTGAAGTAGGAACAACTAAATTTCTTGGCCTACAAGTTGACAATAACTTAAATTGGAAAAACACTTATTAATACATTATCCATAAACTAAGCTCAGCATGTTTTGCTATGAGGACTGTCACATCACTCATTAAAACAGAAACTTTACAATTAATCCACTTTGTTTACTTATATTTGATCATGTCATACGGGATTATTTTCTGTGGAAACTCACCAGACAGCAAGAATGTATTTTACATTCAAACAAAAATCATTAGAATAATGATAGGCACTAAAAGGTCCTCAAGCATGGAATTATTTAAGTAATTGAGTATTCTTTCACTAGGCAAAAAATTCTTGCTCTCATTATAATCATTTGTAATGGACAAAATGGAAACATTTAAAACAAACTCAAAATATTCTAAATGTAAGTATAAGAAAAAAACCCTTCACATGACAAACACTAACCCCAGTAAATATAATCTCCACCCGCCCCCAATGTCAAAATTCATCATCACTCCTACTCAGCAGAATATACTTCAACCAATTCTTGGCTGTTATAAATACATGTAAGCAATAGTGGTGATGTTTTTTGTGTAATAATGTTTGCTGCAAAACTGTTGTATACTGTAAATCACTGTCACATATATGCAATTTATATTTGTATTAGAAACAAGTATTTGTGCTATGACATGTTCTACGTCCTCCTCTCAGGCCTATGCACGATCTACGGAATGTAAATAAATTACATTAAATTCTATTATAATGCATATAGACGATCCACTTCCTTCTTCAGTAATACAAAACATTGGTTGAGTACCTTGCGAGTACATATACTGGACGCCAGATTATTTCTATAACGAAACAGGTTAATTCCTTAACTGTTCAAGATTACAAGCGAACAGCACAATTTGTTCATATCTTGTGTACGTAAATTAAATTAGTCACTGACAAAGAAAGCTACGTTTAAATTTAATGTACTAAATTAGTAAGATGTCAACACTAATAAGTCAAAAATAAACTTCTGACATCTTTAGAAAGTCAGTCAATCAGCTTTAAATCCTTAACGGGACCTACTTGTGAATTTCATACAAGACACATACCTGTTTTCTCAGAATCTCGGCTCCTTCATTAATAGCCACACATTTATAATTAAGACACGCAACTTTCTCCACTAATGACATCCAATACGTTTTCCCACTTCGTAAAATAAAGATAAACAAAACATACCGAAGACGAAAGCCACTACATTCCGATAATAGGTACAAGTAAATAGTTCAACATTCTCCTCCAGATAGCAGACAGAAGCAGTCTACTAAAACATTCCCCATAAAACTCAATAAATTGAAATTTACCACTAAACTTGAAATAGTAAACAAAATTCTGATTTCTTCAATCTTCTACCGTTTCAGTATATGGTGCAGAGAGAAACAACTGCATGCGTACAACACATTCGACTCTTTGCATGGGGCATCGTATAACCACTAATTGTTTAGATGAACCCAAGTCTTCTGTCCGTCTTTCACTGAAAAGATGGTGCTGCGCTATCTATCGGTGGCCTTACATATCACAATTCTGGCCATGCAATAACTCGAAATGGACGACCCCAAATCGCATAAGCCAAAACGATTCCCGCCCCTTTCAGGTTCAAATCCCGGACACTTATAACCAAAATCCTCTACATCCCCGTTACCGTAAGCACTCATTTTCGACGTATGGCACTGTTTACCATTTCCAGCACTAATTCGTAAGCAATTTCAAAGGATGGATACAGAACAATTAATCGTGTAGACCACAGTGAAATGTTAAACAATGCAAAACATTCATAACTGGTAGATGGAGGGCAAGCACTACTAGTCATTTCCGGAAGCACAATTACGAGCTCAAATAGAAAGGCAGACCGATTGGACCCAATGCATTTTGATGTTCAAGTGCAGAACAAGTTTCTACACGTGCACTTCCTGCAAAAATGCTCACAATTTGTTACACGTTCAGTTCCTTAAAAATTAAACACCATAAAATGAGCAACTCCCAAATATCTGAATATTCCATCTTTAGAAAGTAGATAGAGCATTTGTGTACAGCTTACATATTTGTTTTATCTGGAAAAGGACTTGAATGAGCCAGTTCCAGATGACTGGTAGACATAACACAAAAACCTAGAGGATGACTGCACAAACACCAACTAAAGCTGTATTACTATGCAGCAGCCTATACAATTGTAACAGAAGAATGCAAGCAACCTACCAAGAGCTATCTTCTGTGCAAGGATGTAAAGGCAGGATGGGCAAGGGTGAGATAAAAAAGCTATGACAATTAGAATTGTGTAGTAAAATTTCCTGAATATGTAGCAAAAATTTTGTGACCATGTTTAAATACAATGTACAGCCAGACATCCTATGAACAATGATGCTTAAAAAACCAAGAGCTAATAGCTGTAATGAAATTACAGGTAACTGCAGAAACTGCTACCACTTTCATGCACTACACAACCAAGAAGTCACTCAATGAAAATTACATTCATTTCACAAGCACTTCCAAATTCAAGATAGCATGGGACACACAAGTAGACAAAGGACTTTTAAGAAAAGAAATGCATTCATTGAGCTACCCTGCATGGGGCAATTTTTCACAACTACAGTTTACTTGTTCTAACACTGTACAATGAATGGAATATCCCTCTCCCATCTTACATATTAATTTGTGTCCAGATACACTGCATTACACAAAAGTAATAAACCCTCATAAATATACATTGAAAATTGTATCAATTCTCTTAAAATAATTCTTGAAGTCACTGGATATGGAGTTCTCCTGGTATTAAGAACAAAATACTTAAATTAATTTCACAAGACTATACAATTTGCAAATTGGATTCATCTCTTTATTACAGCAATCCCACTCAAAACTGTCCTATGGCTGAACATAATGCAGGCAGCTCCATTTCCGCTACAAGTGTGGGGGAAACCATGGAATAATCCCGTAGAGTCCAGGCATTTCTTCTGCTGCTCGTCTTCTCTTGAAGGTGGCCTTGATAAAAGGAAGGATTACAATATTGTCCACAAAGCCCCAAGACACACTTCTAATACAAGATCACCATCTCGAAAAGTCACCAGATAAACAAAAGCTCACACAACTAATAGTCATGCCTCCACAGTATTATTCCATGGAAGGCCCTAAACCCCATAGAAGTTTTCACTTCAATGGTGGCAGTGAGTAGGTAAACTAAAATGCGTTTAGAATGCAAACAGCAACAAGAAAGCCATCATAAGACAAAACAGACCCATGGCCTCAGACAAGGCAAATCCCAAGATGGCATATGAGAACAGTTGCTGCTTCAGTGATGGGTTCCTTGCATAACCAATGATGAGCGAGCCAAACACTGTTCCAATTCCAGCCCCTAAAACACAGAAAACAGAATGTACACACCACTTACACTGAACATAACATGTAAACACACTACTGTAACACAAAGTCTGAAGAGACCCACTGCAAGAAAAGTACACAAAACTCTTCAGCCACGCTGATGTAAGTTTGCTGAAACTTCAGTAAAACAAATTAGTCACAACCTATGCAACACATAATTACTTATTATACTTGATAAGTAACCTGCAAGGGGGTGATAATGTCCACTACTGGAATGGCTAAACTTCTGGGTAGACCCAAAAGGCCTGCTTTTCTGTTGCACAGTTCTACAAGTTCCATAAGTGTAAAATTTAGGTTAATGTAATTTATAATAAAAAATTAGCATGTAATGGAACATAAAAGTCAAGTGTGCTGGGCTTCTTACACATGGTCAAGTCATCAAATTCTACTATCTCTCATCTTTCATCGCTCACAATTAACAGCAATGATACCTTGTTTGTGTAGTTACAATGCACAGAAAGCGACATCCTATGTAAGTGGAAGGAGAGTATACTTATAAGTATGAAATGTATCTGGAAACCAAAATTACAAACAAAATAACATTTACGAGATCCCTCACAGAATGTAGTTTCACTAATAAAACACTAAATGCTGGATGCTTCATGGTTCAATTTGCAGTATTAATGAACCAAGATATGTCAACATAAGAAATCTGAACATTGCATTCCAAAATAAAAGTGTCTCAGATAATCCCATAATTTCTTAAACCATTATGTGCACAGAATCCTTCTTCGTACATACTCAACCATAAGAACAAGCAAAAAAACAGGAACGTTTTCATTCAGATCTTCAATTTCAAAGTGCCTTGGTTTGTGTCTGGGAAATTCTAGTCACCAAATGGCGGCACATTTATTCAGACACGCCGAACATTATACTTTGTACAAATTCCACATTCTATAACATCACAAGAATGGCTCAGAAGCAATAGAATACCCTTTAAGTATGTACAAAAGTACAATGCTTTGCAATTGATACTGAACACATTTTGCAAAAAATGAAGATATTTCTACATTTGTTCACCAAATACCAAACTCCAAAAATGTCTCAGCTGACTCGACACACTGTTAATCTACACACGCACACATTTCCGTATTCAAAGCCTTGCAATGTTCACACAACACACAATGTACCCCCAGCAAGTGTAAATACAAAACTCTACACTTACCTTGCAAAAATGTGTAACATACTTTACAATGTAGTAGCAGACATCCTGTATATTCCTAACACAAATTACAAACAGTGCAAAAATATGAAATACCAACTACATCAATTACTTTTTGAGCGAACCTTAATCATTTACGATAGTGTGTGTGTGTAAAAACAAATAACATCACAGCACATAAAACTTGAGAAACTGCAATTAACCATTCCATACTTGATTCAAGAAGAAAAGAGGCCAAAATATTCTTATGACAAATTAAATATAACCATGACAAGGGTTTAAATGGGCAAACGTAATCAATGCAAAGCACAATGTATTGTAACATTAAATTTTTTGGAAAACATTTTTATCAAAGCACAAGAAATCTTATTGCTATCAGTGTAACTTGTTTAAAATATGCATTTCATTAATCTAGTAGTGTTACATTTGAGAAACAATTAAAAATATATGGGCAAATAACTAGCAATATTTTTATTGGTAATCATGTTATATTCAAATTATATCAACAAATGGCATACAAAACTTTGTATTTAAGCTGCCTGCTTATTAGTATACACAGTTTGCTAATATAATCAGTCTATTCAATGTTGGGAATTGTGGCACACCTTGTGTAGGCACAGACGGGGTCCATCCATACAGATTTTACAGTATGTTCACAGAACAATTTATGGAATACTTACATGTTTGTTTTTTATAGCCACATGCTCTTATAACAGTGCTATGACAGCCTGGACAGAACACACTGAACTCATCCCATATGATTTAACAAGTTAACTGTACTTTGGAGAAAAAGTTTAAAATTTAACTGCTTCAGGGTCCAAAATATCTCAAAATATGTAAATACATGCTACGTTTCAAATATAAAACATACATCCTGCATATAAGAACACCATTCAATAATGCCAGAACTGAAATGCATCTGTAACTAAACATCATAAACTTTCTTGAATGATCATGAGTCCAAGTACAAAATGCAGTCCTTAAAAATCAACTGTTCAAATTTTGTAGTGTGTAATGTTCCTCAGCACCATCACCAGTAGTTCATTACAGTTCTATTTATAGGACAACTATCCTGCCAAGCCTCACATATTGAGGTCAACCTTCTAACATTTAGAGGGTAATGCTATTTGATTAAAATTTGTGACCCACTGCATTTTGCTTCCATAAACAAAAGTACATTTGTTCAAACTCTATTTCAAGGACATATACATATTACAGCCAACACTTCCAGGGTAGACTTCACAATCAGTAGCCTCTGATCTGTATAAGGATGTTTCTGTGAACCGTGGCCAGCAACAGAGTAGTCTGAATTGAGTTAGGGACACATGGTCCTTCTTGCACATTGCACTCAAAATGCAGGTCATGAGAGCTTCCAAGAAAGTTGAGCAGCTCAGCCTCAGCCACAATGGCATCCCAGACAACTGCCACTCTACTTCCGCTATTTCTATTCTCTCACACCCTTTTAACAGGCCACCCTGCTAGAGTGTTAACAGACCCTGACTCAGACCTTCCCGAGGCTGTACTTGGGTAACTAGTACCCTGTGGGTGAGCCCCTAGTGCAAGCTTGTCTCTGGCCACTAATTTACACATACAATCATCCAAGTCCACCACATTCAAAATTTAAGTATTTCTCATTAGTCTTTCAATTTTATGTTGCACACAAGTAAATAAAATGACAAATATTAAAGTTTTCAGTACCGACTGTAAACACGTAACTTCCTCCCAATAAAACCATTTCCTGAAACAACACCCAGTAGATGATTTAAAACTACCCACACATACCTGAACCAGCTACACCCACAGTAGCTGCACCAGCACCAATAAACTTGGCTGCAGAGTCAATGTCTCTAGTTACAGAAGTTGTCTGGAAATTACGTACTGCCGGAAGCTGCGGAAGAATCAGGAGTAGAACATGAATGAATTTTGAAGAGGCATAACTACTGGTAAAACAAATTACATGTGGGACATTTGCAGAAATCAGAAAGATTGTGTTACAACCTATCAACAAAGTAAAATCTACTCTTTCAATTATTTAACATATCCTTGAACATTTGAAAGTTCCCTTTGAAACTTCTGATGTAAAATGAACGAAGTTCACCAACCTCTCTACTCTTTAGCCTTATGCCCAAAAATTACCCATAACACAAATCTGGTGATTTCCAAAGGTGTGTTGGTAAAAATGTTTTTCTGGACTCTGTCCACTGTCTAGATTACAAATATGTATATTTATGTTTGAGCTGACCAGGTCTGAGGCCAGAGGGCCCAACAGCTAGGATGTCCTTTTTTTTACTTAAAAAGACCCAGCTTCCAAAACGCATTTTATTGTAATTTGGACGATGGTCAAGTGCAGACATGTTTTCCAAACAAATTTAGTTGTAATTAAAAATATCATATCCGACTGGTTACACGACTTTCACAAAAATTCCATTAATCATGAACATCGATGAACTTTAATTTTCATTAAGCCTCCATGCAATACCTAGTTTACTTACCAAACTAACTGGGGGTGTCGTCTGTGTGATATTTTGTTGTGGTGGGCTGCTGTGACTAACCAAAGCACTGCTAATTGGTCGGATGTACGCTCGAGATCCAGACACCAACTATAAAGTAATAAGTAAAATACATTCCACCTCAACGTCATGATTTGAAATTGCTTTGCTACGGACGTTCACACATCTGGAAAACTTACGGCGGTCCTGGCGGCAGGGGCAATGAATCGGGCACAGGCGAACATTTTGAGGTGGTGGTTGGTTTGGTAAATTTAAATCCCTGGAACAAAATTCTTATGTTTAGGTGTATGCACCTACACAAAATGCACAACCTTTAATGCAGGACCACTGTCGAGAAAAAATCCTGCTCCCAATATTTCCCAGCGGTTCTCACAGGAACAATTTACAAATGCAACTACTAAAATCTAACTAATTACATTTTCCTGACAAATAAAACAATGCTGAATATTCTATACTTATATAATTATTCGTATGCCCCGTATTAAGTCCGGTTAAAATGGCCGTTCCCAAGAAAGGTTCCACCATTCCTTATATTATATTACATCTGATATAGAAGAAGATACTAATAAATATGTTAAAGCACAAACGACATTATAATTAAGTATAGTATTAATGCACTTTACACGACTGGATGACTGTTACAATCAACAGAATTAACCGATAACTCTACTCACTTCCTTTCCAACCCCGAACTTACCAAAGAACAGAGAGGAGGAGGATACAACTTGTCCTTGGGTACAGTGAATACCTGAATGCCGGGAAAACGAACTGCAACCACCGTGCAAGTGTCGTTGGTTCAACTGTAGCCGATTCCGTTCACTATCTTTCCAGCTTTTCAGAACAACCTTTTATCGATCATCCGAAATTAGCCGACAAGAGAATTCGCCGTTACTGAAAAGTCAATTTCGCAATTATATAAAGAAAAATATATTTACATTAAATTAAATTTCAAGACAAGCAAAATTATTTTATATATTATATAAAAAAGTAAATATAATATTATAATTCAAATATTCTCTCTGATATTTCAGAAAACACGTGTTTTAATAACGTAGATACGTTAACAGTGATTTGACTAGTTTCCAGTGGATATGGCCGTTTTCATGGTAAACATCTGTAAATTCAATGGATGTGGACTAACTTTTCCCAGTTTAGCAGATCTCATACAGCATATTGAGGACATTCATATAGGTAAATAAACATATATTTTGAAAATATGACATCGGTTCTCGATATGTGTTACGACTAGTAAGTGTCACGAAAGGTTAGGATAATGTTGACATGCCCCAACCTCAATTCCGATACCATCATACCAGACTGGTATGATAAGAAAGTCTCAATTGGAGCATACAAAGAGCTTCACTGCATTACAGAACAAATTGCGTTACTTTTAGATTATGACCCTCGGGTCATTGAACAGAAGGAGCTTCAACAACCCGCTTGTCTTCCACTTAGTTATGTATTGAGGTTCTTCACTGATGCTGCTAGAAAAGAGGGACACGATGCGAAGCGAAAACTTGCCCAAAATCAAGGAACTAAAACCTCTACTCATACTACTACTACACGGAGTAACACACCAACTGGTAATTTTAAGTATTTGAATGATTATCGTTTCACGAATTTGAGGTTAAAAATTATACCACACATGCAAAAACATTTATGAAATAAGGACCTTCGTAAATTCTTATCCTGTAGGTAGCGAGGCAGATGAAGATGAGTTGATGAGTGAGTCTGAAGATAGTAATGATTCTTGGACGACTTCAGAAGAGTTTAGTGCAGAATTCATATTAAGATATGGGAGCAGGTAAACCAGAAGATTACAAATATTTGCACTTACCACATACAAGAACACCGACGCAATTTAAATTTGTCTTTATTCTATTTTCAGTGTACCAGTAAAGAAAATGCCTGTTTATAATTCTAAGAAACCCCAAAACCTTTGGTAAGTAAATGTAAATTCCAAGGTATTATTTTATGTCATTTAGTTTTTACAGCAGTGACCCTTGTGTATTCATTTTGCAGGATGTTGAATCCATCAAACAATAACAATGTGGATAAACCATTTGCTTGTCCAGTTCCCGGTTGCAAAAAACGTTACAAGAATCCTAATGGAATCAAATATCATTCCAAGAATGGTCATAAGAAAGATGGAAAGTAAGCAATTTTGTTTTATATTCTAATTTCTCAAAGATCTTTGTTGGTTTGTAGTCAGTTTGAAGACAATTATATCAGTTGTTTATCACTGATTCTTCCAGAGAGAAGGTGAGTAACCTACACTGTCTGAAAATCAGGCTGTGGCCATCCAGCCTGTACCCATTACTTTATTGACAAAGCTCACCCAGCTCATTTTATGCACATTGTATTCAGTATAATTTTACAACTTCAGTCCTTAATATCTGCACTGTTATGTGCAATAAGTATTGGAATTACTCAAAAAATAGAAGGTACTTCAAGTTTTTCAGAGAGTAATTTTATTATGCCATTCTCATCTGCTGGTAGCATTAAAGTAAAGTAAAGCTGTCCCACTATAAGCCATGTAGGTCCTTGAGGGAAGATGAGGTATAGCTTTCTACTGATTCTTAACCTCAGCACTAGATAGGGGTGAGTGGTTAGCGTCACACCCCAGCCATGCTCTGCCCCCAGTTCCCATTGTATAGGAGGCTGGGTGGGCCCCAGAGCTGGTCTGAACGCAGAGGCTAGAGGAAAAATCAAAATCCTCTGCCCATCGGTGATCGAACCCTGGTCGTTCAGTCCGTAGTCAGTCACTGTACTGACTGAGCTACCAGGCTCATACTGGTAACATTACAGTTTTTATAATGTGATGTATGGTTCATTATCATATTACACACACTGCTTATGTTAACACCACTCAATCTTGGCTATTGTCTTCTGTTCCTGATCATGGTGCATTACTTTTTGTCTGCCTTTACCTCAGGCTATCTTGTCCAGATTTCGTACTTTAATATTCATAAGTCTGCATATCATATAAGCTAAAATAAAATCAGTAGTGTAGTTTTGCATCACCTTTTCTCCAAACTCCTGTTCCTTTTCTCAGTTATCTTAAGTGTCACAGCAAAATGAGTAGCACTCACATTTCAGAGGTTCTGCATTTAAACCTTGGCCTGGAGACTGGCTATGCTGACTGAGACTTTTCATGGTTTTCCTAAGAGTCTCCAAAAATTGCCAGGAATAGTACCTTAATTGGGCAGACTGCTTTCATCTGTTATCATTTCCACTTCATCATTTAACACTAAATATGCTGAGCGACTAACAGCATTTTTAAATAAGTATTTCTCCTTTGTCTTTTTTGGCACTGAAAAGTCATATCATCTGTATTACATCTTAATATCCAACCTTTTACAAAGAATGTGGTGAACACTGATCTCTTCTAAATGTGGTTGCATATCAAGGAGTGAATCCTGCCAATCATTGTGTATGGATGGTCAGAAGAAAATCCCAGTGTCGATCCCTACATCAAACTTTTATCTGTAACTTGAGCTACATCTTGTTATAATGATGGGCACGGAATGTGAACACTGAAAACCAGAATTTTTAAGTAAACTGTGATGCACATCCATGTATGTCTTTTAAGTGTTTTTTGTTACACAGGGTACTTATTTACATTGCAGGGTTCGCAAAGGCTTCAAGTGTCATTGTGGAAAGAGCTACAAGACATGTCAAGGGTTGAGGAACCACAATGCAACTCATCATAATGGGGCCAGTCTTACCACTCTTACCACACAGAATGGAGAAGTCCTACAGATACCAACCAGCCATGTAGCAGCATTGCAGCCTATTCGTGCAATTGCTCTTAAGCAGATTTCTACTGCAAGTCTTGGTGCTGCCATTGGTCTGCCTGTTAAAACTATTCAAGGTCTTGTTGTGGCCACAAAACCAAGTGAGAATGGCAACATCATGAAAGGTGACACAGGCACTGAAGGCAATTTTGATACAATCACTTTTGCTAAAGGTTCCACCATCCAGATGACAGTCCCAACCTTAGTTCCACCCACATCAAAGGGGAACACTGTTGCTGGAATTGTTGTGAACAGTCCTGCAGGAATAACCCAACCTGTTACAATGGAACAACAGACATTAACTACTACTCTAGGTGTGCTGACTCCTGCTACTTCGCCACAGACTCCCACTTCAGACTCTACCAAATCCCAGATCACATCACTTACTTTATCTCCTCCTACCTCTGCTGTCAGCATACAGTTAGAATTCCCTACTGGCACAGTGGGCTCATCTATATCACCAACAGCTGGTACTCAAACATTACTTACACCAAATACTGAAACAACTGTTGCCACTCAAGCATCTCCTCTGTAAGAGTTCACAACGTTACAATATAAGCATATTATTTTTGCTCAGATTCTTTGTCCATAGCTCCAGGCAAAACTTTCAGTTTGGGTTGAGGTTTTCTTAGTATAAGATAGACAATTAAATGACTACACTGATTTTCTAAAAAAAAATATTATTGTTGTTGATGCTTAGTGAGTTTGGTCACCTTCAAAGTACTTGTCTTCTGACTTTATACACACATTCCAGTGTCTGTCATACCTGGAAACATTGCTAGTCACTTTCACCTCTGTTGTCACATGGCTCTAAATGCCTTCTAATTCAATGGAAATGTTTTAGGACAACGAAAAAGTCATATAGGTTCAAATCAGTCAAGTACTGTGAATGCTTCAACATTGGTGTCAATTCTTTACCCAAAAATTGTGTGAGAATGTGCATGGTCATAATATAAAATCCACTTTTCCAGTCATATATTCAGCCTTTTTTTTTTATGAATATGCTGCTGTAAACCTTACAAAACTTGAAGGGAGAATACTTAGTTGACTGTTTTGGAGGAAAGAATTTGTAATGGCTACTTCAATGTGAAAAAGATATGAGCATAGTTTCAACTTTTGATTTTGGCATGTACACTGCCTTTAGGCTTTGGACTTTTCCTATTCAAGCAAATTTAATTTCTCATGTTCTTGATAAACAGAACTGCAAACATAAAACCAACCTTGCTGCAACTGCAAAACAAACTGAATTATAGCAATTGTTTAAAAAAACAAGCTTAATTGTGCAGAGACATTCCAAGCCAGCAGCATTGCCGGTTTCAGCACAAAAATATCAGTCAAGTTATTTAATTGTCTGGCATTATGTTCATGAAACAAGTGAAAGGCAGCCTGCAACTCTTTAAGGAAAATAAATGAAGATATAGCTAGTACATAGTGGCCAAAGTTAAGCACCATAGATAATAATTACAAAGTCAGATATATTTCTTAGTGTAAGGAACATATCTATACTGACATATGAAGAAAAAATTAACAGATACTGCTAGAGTTTGTCATCATGCCATGGTTAAATATAATTATTTGTAACATTCCTCAGTAGAACTACAAAGAAATGTGAATCTCATAAAAATTGGAATCAGAAATACCTGTAGTAGGTCCTGAATATACGGAACTCCAAACACCTGAGAAATGTCACAGTGCAGGAGCAAATTATAACTTATATGAAAAGTGATACAAACTTAAACAACTGGTTATAGTTTTGGAATGAAATGTTACTACAGCCAAAATAATGCAAATACTTGGAAAAACAAGCAGAATATAAAAGTTATTGTAACAGGGTCTCAGTGGTACTTTGTTGAATTTACCAGTTTGGATAAAAATTCTAATCCCTCCTTTGCAAAAATTTGAATTGTCCACATCTTTATTCTGATATATGCTTATAATTCTCAGTCCTCCTGTTACTCATATTTTACCTGTTTGCTTTTCATTTACAAATACTACAAAAATTGTATTTATTATTCTGTGGTGCCTTACTTATGTCATGCTTGTATAATGACTTTAGTTAAAGTTTCTGTCCCCCTAATTTTAACTGTTATACCAGGGTATTATACATGAGTGCCAAATGTGTTATCCAAGCATTGAATTTTACAGCTACGAGTACATATGTATTGCTAAGTTTTGTCATGATACAAGCAGAATACAAAAATGTCCAATGGAAATGTGGAATGAAATAAGTGAAAGGAAATGAGAGAATTTACCAGAATAAGGAGATGACATGATTATCATGTGTATCTCTGCCTATACATGTATTCATTGCATTCTGCTCAGCAGAGTGTAGTTCAATCTGAAAACAGGAAGAACTGTACCTTCTTTTGTTCCATCTAACATTCTCAGGCAAGGTTTGTTATTTTTGGTCTATCATTGCATTTAAATCATCATATGGACAGTTTTTCTTGCTATCCCATACACATATGTTAGTAGTTATTAATTACTACTTTTTCATATTTTAAGGGTATACTGCATCATCTGAATAAATGGTAATAGCAGCTTTATCTCATCGAACGATTCAGTAATCAATATTTACTGTTTACAGTTGTTTACACCATAAGAAATACATCTTCATAGAAGAATAAATATGAAGGTGACCTTATATATTCTGTAATTAACTTTATGATTTTGCATAATGATAACTGCCTATTTGGCAAGCTACTGTTGGCCAACAGTAATAGCCTTAACTTTTTCAGACTTGTCTATTCATTACTTGTGTGTTGTGGTCCTTGCAGATTTTGCCTTTTTTGTACATACTTTAGCATACAATCACATGTTTGCAAATACCGGGTCTACAATTTATGAGGCTGCGGTCGTGCTTGCATTGCGTGGTTGGCCGGCGAATCAGTTTCAGTGCCGCTAGTAACAGCGAACTACGAATATTTTTCGTCACTAATACATGTTATTACATTAATTGTTCTTATCTTAAATCACAAAAGATGTTCAAAGTGACTTACTTGTGCTTGCAGGCAACTTCACATCTCGTTAACATGTTTCGAAATACTCGACGAAGCTCTTCTTGGGAAATTGTCGAATATTTTCTTTAAGTGCTTCTGCAGTGTGCGGATTGTTTACATAAACTTTGTTCTTCAGCATGCCCCACAGGCAAAAATCGCACGGGTTTAAGTCTGGCGAACGCGGAGGCCACTGATCGATAACTTGTTCACCAAGCACTTCTCTTAATGCTAACATCGACCGAGCAGCTGTGTGAGCTGTAGCATTGTCTTGCATGAAGAAACCGTAAGTCTTTTTTCATCGGTCATTTCTTGGAAAAAGGGTCTAACTATTAAATTTACATAACGTTCACAATTTATCCGCATGTATTAGTGACGAGAAATATTCGTAGTTCGCTGTTACTAGTGGCACTGAAACTGATTCGCCGGTCACCCACCGGAAGAACGCGCACAACTCCTGCCCACATCAACAGAGAACCGGCCGACCACGCAATGCAAGCACGGCCGCAGCCTCATAAATTGTAGACCCGGTACTTGTGTGTATGACATAAGACTGATAATGTAGGGGTTTCAAATTGTGGCTAAAATTGTTAAAAAATTTACATTTCAAAGTGCAGTATAACTTTGGTCTATTTATACATTTTATGCCTAAATTAGGACTTGTGTGTTTCTGCACAAAATTATTCACATACTATCACCATTTCCTTCTTATATAAAGAAATGAATCAAAATCTTTAAAGGAAAGAAAAATGTAAATCAAATATTCCAGAGAGTACTAGTGAAGTTTAGACAGAAAGGTAACTGATAATGAAAACAATAATACAAGCTCTACTAAATGATCAACACAATTTGTTCTTATATTTCAATTGTGTTGCTCATTTGGCAATTGACAAGTTATAAGGAGATAACTAATGTGCATGTGAAAATTTGTCTACAATACAAAGCACTGAATGTGTTCACTAAGCAGATTCCTTTAAAGTTTCAGTCTCAAACTGGTTAAAATTTCTGATGATAAATTAGGCATAGAAACAATACATATCATCATGATATTAAACATATGGAAGTTTGCTGGACTATTTTCACTATTTGGAGTAGAGATATCTTTACAAAATTTTGAAGACTAGCTGTCTCTCTATCATCTGAGAGAAACAATGTGGGAATGGGAATACCTACTCATTCAGACCTATTAAACAAATTTATTCCTTATTGCCCAGCACAGTTTGGAAAATGTCTCTACTCGTATGTGAATCAGATAGCTCACCTGTATAGTTCAATGTTTCCTTGCAGGAATCACTTAATTAGATCAAGGTAAATACTCACTGAGTTGTCTTCCACAATAAAAAGGAATGCTTGTGTACCAAAGCACATTTTTTTTATTTGTTGTAAATGTCATTTATAGTGGTAAATTAAGATTAACTATAATTACATTGCAGTTAATTTGGAAACAGTTGCTTAATGGAAATCAAAGTCATGCAGAAACCAAATTTTTAAGTTTCCATGGCCAGTAATTTCATGATGGGCTTAGATCTTGTGTGATAAATCCACTGACAATTTAATTCTCATATTGTGAAATTATTTATAAACCATGAAGAAAACCATAACATGTAATGCAGGTACTCCTCATTTTATGCAACAGTTGTATTCCAAAGAAAAGTTGCAGAGGGTGGAAACATACAAATTGAAAAATAATATCCCCTCTTCCCTCCCATTCCTTCTCTACCACTCATACAATACTGTACACATATAATGAGGAATATGTGTACATTGGTTTCTTTATTATTGTTTAATGGCATAACAAGATCAGGGGACTTGCTGTTGTGTAATTGTTGATAATATATAATTTTTATACATTGTTGTGATTCTAATCTAGTCCAGAACTTGAAGCAAATCATAAATCTACTACAAAATAACATTTTGTGTTAAATTTAGAGATGGTCAAACCCTACACAATACTATGGGGCTGTGAAAGGAAAATGCCACTCCATCTATTCTGTCACAAACAATATAAAAATGGCAACCATTCAAACTTGTGAGGTGGGAACAAACATTTTTTAGTGTAGGGTCTGAAGTGATATTTGTAAAATTTTCAACATTTTGATTTGATGAATTGTAACTGAACATACATTTTAAACATGTAACTTTTGGATGAAACATTTTCTTTCTTTGCTATACCATAAAGCTATGAAATCTTGTGTAAAGTGGTTAAGTACAAGTCTATATGCTATCAGTGTTTTCTAAAAGAAAGTTAATTTTATGGGGTAAAGTTTCTAAACCTCCAATGCATCATCATTCAGAACCTTGAAGTGTATCATACTAATGGCTAGTGCTTTCAACATATGTAATATACAAGAACTTGTCATGTAAATTGTGATCAAATGGTGTTTGACCATCTCAAAGTATTTGTGTTATACCATTAATGTATATGTTTTTAAAACTTTGTTGAGTTTGACAGTTTTTAGTATCTGTGAAGTAACTGGCAATATTTGTATTTATTATATTTCAATTCAACAAAGCCATATACACTGCTACTGTGAGCTTTAATTGTAGATGTCTTTTTCATTGTCTTATATATTTTTATTCAGTTTGCAATATTATATACATTGTTTTTCTTATTTCATTATTAAGAGCATCAGAATGTATAGTAGTAAAGTTAAATACTGTTTTATGAAATTAACATATGTGTCATGTTATTAATATTTTTATGAACCTGTTGTGTTTATCTTGAAAATGCACAAAATTACAGTGATTTACATTTATGAATGAAAGGTCAACTTCAAAGAATTATATGGACACGGACAGATAGTGGAAGTATTCACACAAGAGAAAAAATTATAGTGAAATTGCATAATGATCAATATTCTTTATGTAAATGAGAGGATGCAGATATGGTCCACTTAGTTTTATGTGTAAGGTGTATTTATGAAGGAATGTGTTAACTTTGGCCAACCACTTGCCATCTTTGATTTGGTCTTTAATCTTTATCATATGGAATGTCTGCCTTTTTCATTTAATACTGCCAGGTTATATTCCTGTGATGACACCCCCCCCCCCCCCCCCCAGTCTAATTTTTATGGTAGCCAAGCTTACCTTGTTGCAAAATGAGTCAATTCCTTTTTCTGTCACAGCTTCTTAGGAAAAAAAAATGCAATACCAGAGTTGGAGTTACATGTGGTGGGAAAAATGTTGTCCCTTAAAGATAACTTCTTTTGTCCTGATCTGATGCATATTTGTTTACAATATTGCCATATCATACCCTATGATGGTCCCATGATATGACACCACCCATTTACACTTTGCCCAGTCTTCCCGATTTATGAAATAAGCCATTTTCTTTTAGCCACATAGGACAGATGTGTGTAACTGGAGACACAAATATCCATATGGGACAAACACTGTCTTGCACAGACTTTTGAGATTAATTTTACTCATAAAAAAGCAAAGTACAAGGAAGGCATTGTCAATGGTTGTGTTCTACCAAGACCAGATCTGTTATTTTGAACTTAGAAATTACATATAATTAATAATGCTGTATATCATTCTACCTTATTGTGGTGGTGGCGGTGGTGATGGTGTTTCTGAAGGACTTCTTCCACAGTATCTGGTGATATTTCCATATGTTTCACTCTCCCCATTTCATCTGAAAAATACATACTCATTTCAGACTATATATGGTGGAAGTGGTACAGTCATGAAGATTGTGGGGGCATGTTTTGCCAATTTATGGAAAAAGGAAAGAAAAGAAAAGTATCAAATGCCTTTAAATATCTAGTCATCTCAAAGCTTTTTAGACTATAAGCAGCAGAATTCAGTAATGTAAATACTGTACATTGTGTATATAAACATGTAAATGTGGGACTTAACATTGCTCATATACAAAGTATGATACAATTTGTTCTACGTTTGCATTGTCATATTTGTTGGAATATTAATGTACATAATTATATGTGTACACTTATGGTTGGTAAAGAATATACTTTTGCTGTGACAGAAAGTGTAAGCATGAAAACATGGATAAAAATCTGTGAAATTTTTGTATCTGTGATAGTATTGTTTGTTACTGTTTTCATAGCATTCTCAGTTGAAGTAATTAACACTGTTATTTATTTATAATAGATGAATTTCTATACTTTGTGTGTATAATTAGGGCCAGTACTTTCTAGCATGTGTGTTATGAAACATGACTGTATATTTATTTCAGCACATGTTCTGATCTATCATGATAACCAAATGAGAGTTTTTATATTTATATTGCCTGAAAAACAAGATAAATGTATTATGTCTATTGCATACATGTTACAGATAGATGATGGGGTGTGATTCCCTGATATTGTACCTCCTCCACCTTATGAATTACATTCATTTTCCATCATTCTTAGCCAATTCTACTTATAATGACATACAAGATGGAGTGGTATGTATGATAAAGTTGAACATGTAGGGCCTATATTATATTGTCATGACATTACAGCACACATTCATACAACCACACAACATATTAAAGTCATAATACCGAAGTTTCCCAGTCTTGTCATTCTAACAGAACTCACACTGGAGCCAATAAATTTGAAGTATATTTTGAATACAAAGTAAACATTTTAATATGCAGGATTAATATTATTGTGTACTGTCTTAAAAAGTACTGGCCCTGTAAATATAGAGAGTATGTATTATTTGCACATGAAAGGATGTACTTTGCCTGCAACTTATAAACAGTATGAATGTTATCTTTTATAAGTATATGCATACATATATATAAATATGACAGCTTTTGTAGGTTTTTGGTGTTCTAGACTTTGACGTTGTTATAAATGAGATATGAAGGTAATACTTGTTTCATCATCACATAAATATTGAATTATAACCTTTGACCAATCTTCTGCTTGAATTCCAGCATGCTACTACCATAGTATCATTTATTTTTCTTTATGCATATTTCAAGTAGCACAGTAAACAATGTAAAAGCAGGGGATAAAAAAAGACTACTAATGTAATATAAGGAAGAATCCAAGGATGTGCATGTTGTAATGTAATACTTCACAAGACTGGTACATTATTTCTATTTGAATTAATGCAAATTTGGACTGTTCAAAAGAAATATTAAAGTTCAGTCTTGATTACATTTTAATACAGAAGTAAAATGTGACTTATTTTGCATGATGACTTTTAGCTACCAAAATGTTCTGGATCATCATATGATAGCTGGTTGAGGTGATACTCTATATAAAGAAAAACTATTTCTGGCATTTTATAGATATCTTCTCAGCCATCTTTTCATGCTAATAATCATGCAAACTATCATTATTCAATGCATCATAGCACATACTGAGGTTATAAAAACTGCTGATTAATTAAATGGTACCTGGTAAAGTAGTTAGTGTTATCATAACAGGAAAACTAAACCTAAATTTAAGCTACATATTAATATATAGTGAAGAGGAGCATGTAAAAGTGTTTTCAGTAATGGGAAATCTTTCAGTAAATGGGAAAAGAACATCAAATTGGTATATGACTTCATTGTATATATCACACTATTACTATAATTTGGTGACAACCATTTTAATATTCCATCATGTGAGACATAAAACCTTAACCTAATTACATACCATCCTTTCCTCGGTTCTTCATCCGGCTATGCTTTTCCATGCTCCACTTTCTACCGGCCTTCCACTGGATTTGAAATCGTGCTATTATGTTGTAGTCAATGGGAAGTGACTCATCACATTAAATTTAAAATTTCTGGTCTTCCAGTTACAATAACCAACAATAAAACTGACAATATTGCCTCTGTTTATAAGTCATTTTATTATGGAACTGAATTTTTACTCATCCATACTTTAATGAAATCATGACATTTGTTTTTGTCAATGACACATACATCACTGTTCTTATATTATGAAATATTCTAGGACAAAGATCTGTTGTGACTCTGTTTCCACAGAACTGTTTATGTCATGTATATAATACATGCTAACCTTCACTCTATTAATTACTTTCAATTCACTATGTACAGTTAACATTTACATCGTATGTAGAATTATCACTGTGCATTTGATACCCCAGCATCATCATCTGGGAGTTACATGGTTCATATAATGTCTGAACTGGCACTGTCAGTTGTTAAAATTATGCAGAATAATGCAGATATTTAACTCCAGTCACTGCTTCTATTGTACCGACACTGAATCTGGTGATTCCTAATGGATGGTTGTTGGTTTTGTTACTTTCCCATCTTTTTTACTTGACTGAACAACTTTCAAATACTAAATTTGTATAGTAGCAGTAGTATGATGATGGTACTACTAATACTGTACGTATTTCATGTAAATGAACAATTTTAACTCAAGAAAACACACACTAATATATATATATATATATAGACATTCCATAAAATGCCTTGATATTTTAAAGTAAGATACAAACTTATTCTTTGTCTATACCTCCAGTCACTATATACATTCTACAGACTGTGCAGAATGACTTAGGCATGCCAACAGATTTTATACAATGCCTATGTATTATTTATACCAGCATGTGAGCTCACTCTACTTTCATTCAAGAAATTACTGATTCACATCTTTTCAGATACTAATTGCAGTAAAGATGACATCATTTCCTTTTATCTCTGAAGCAAATGACAGCTTAGTACAATATTCACCTTTTCCTGATTCTAACCCCACTTTTATTATATCCATTTTTCTTCTTGAGACTGTTGATTACAAGTTGGCACATGACTCAAACTGCTGCATCCATCACTCTAAAACATACACTTACACTTATATACAGATCATGGCTGGAACCAATGATTTAAGAATATGTTGGTGTAACTTGACCATCTCTTCAAGTGGATGAAATTATCAAACACAGATGTACTGAAAAATATCCTAAACTCTTAAGATGTAAACAGGACAGACACATTTAGATGTTTCATAAGTTTAACTGGATTCACCAAAGCAACGTATAGTAAATTTCTATGATAAACCTAAAATGGAGACCAGATCTTTCATATGTTTCAGCAATGTTCCTTTATGTTATGTTCTTATATGTATAAATAGAAAAAGCATTACTAAATAAAATTTGTACAACTATGGAAGCTTAGTGATCATGAAGATGAAAGTTCAGAAACTGTGTGAAAAAATAAAAACTAAGTTATTTCAACCAACTAGACATTCTGAGCAACTTCTGGAGATAGGGTAAGTGTGAAGTTACCTAACACTTTCTCTGTCAACAACAGTATAATTCTGCAGTGCAGAAAGCACAAAAAAAAAATTTCACAGCGGTACATTGTGCAACAGTTCTGCTCTTTTAGTCAATACAGTCAAGACATTCATGATCTTACATACAATTTTATTTTAAATGTAAGGATTAAAATTCGTGAGAATGAAATATTGTACAGGTGTCTAACATACACAACAGGGTATTTACCAGCCAACACAGCCTAATGACCCACATATTGAAGGGGTTAACTTATATTTTCTTTGGCACCAGCTGTAAACAACTTGTTGCTTGCTTCCTTTTTATTTTTGATTGGAAATGTTAGTACTTATGCTCTATAGTCTTCCTCTAACTGAAGTTAATTTTCAAATGACCATCCATGATGGGAGAGCACCATGCAGCAGGAGATAGAAACATAATTATCCTTTCACTGTCACATGTTTTAAAACGTGTGAAATAAAGGGCAGGGAAAGCCATGCAGGAATCATCACTGTATATTACATATATTATTTATCAATGGCATATTCTAAATAGATGTATTTAACATCAGTACTCGGTTCTGCAGTGAGATGGGTTTCTGTAAACTACTTAAAAACACTTAGGGTGAAGATTATGTACTTCATCATTCTTTCAGTAGACAGTGTCATACTAGTGACTCAAGTAGTGCTGGAATGATAAACAACAAGAAAAATTCTTCTTAATTTACAAATACCATAAATTCCTCTTAAAAGTACTTCAAAATTCTTATCAATGCCACATATTTACTTGCTTGCAGCGATGAAAATGATGATAATGACTATAATATATATATATATTTACTCTAAAATAACAATACATATAATAAATCATAACCCCAGAATGTTAATGTGAATTCTTATTGGTTTCTTCCTGACATTTTCAATTAGTTTAAAGATATGAATATGTATATAATCTTATCTGACAGAGTCAATATATAATAATGCTGTTAAAGTATTAACAAAAACTTTTCTGATCTCTTTGGAATTTTCTAAAATAACTAACCATTGGCACTTACCCATTCATTTCTTTGCACTGAGCTGAGTAATGAGAAGACTGATCTTCTCGCTAACATTACGATCTGCAGGGGCACTCCTACCCTGGACAAATAATAATGCCTGGAGGTCCTTCTGTTCAAATGCAATCTGTGCTGCTTCCTCGAACATTCTATGTACATAAAATAACATAATACACTATATGAACTAAAGTCTAGTGAGGACATGCAACGGCTCCCACACTAAAACATAACAAGTATGATGAATAAAATGTTTGGAAATTAAAAGTATAAAACTAAGCAGTTTTATGGTGGTAGACATTAGGGGAGATCTCAAGATGAAGGAAACACTTTGTTCCTTAGACTTTTAGAAAGGAGACAGGAAGACAAAATATTCTGACCTGAATGGCTGCAAGTACTCAAATCTAACATCCTTTTACACATTACATTTGAAGTGAAAATGTCAATTTTGATATTCTGGGTAGTGAAGCTGTTATTTTGTAGGTAGTTACAAATGTTTCAGAGGAGCATATTATCCCCATCTTAACTACCCTGAATATCCACCTACAAAACTACATTGTCTCACAACACAGGATACCACAATTGAAATCCTCTTGCACATACTCACCCAGTTTTAACATAATATTTCACTTTAAGTTCATCTTTCACTTTAGGCAGGTACTTCTGGGCTTCATACTTGTTTTCATATTTGAGACACACATCAACAAATGGCTGGAAAGAAGATGAGGTGTTAACACTAATAAAAAGAAATATGAACGTATAATGAATTCATGATCAAGACAGCAGAAAAAACATAATATAACATCATTCTAAAAACAAGCTTCTGCATCACTTAAACATGAATTTATAAAGTGTGACCTAAAACTTTCTGAACTGACAAGCTGATACTACTATTGTTATGAAGATGGCTGTCTTTTGGGTTGTAGTGCCACATATAGGCTGGTAGAATTTTACCATTGCTTCAAGGTCCTTGCTCAACTCAGGGCAACTGCAAGGACATCTGAAATGCTGGTAAGCTTCTATCAGACTAAATGCCAATACAGCTCATAAGACAGCCATCTTCCTATTCACTGCAATGAAAACCATAAATCCTGTTATAGTTAACACAAAGCTCCTATGGTACAAATATAACACATTCAATTGCTGATATTAACTTTTTTTCTGGAGTGAACTAACTTTGATACAAAGGAAATATTATTTTCCCTTTATTTAATACACAAAACAAATATATAAAATCTAGAAAACTGACACACTGCTCTTCAGAATTGAGTATGTATGTAAAATATGAATTCATTCAATGTAATAAGGCTGAATACAAATGTGATGCTTTCATCTTACCTCAATTCCTATAGGAGACTTTTTGCTCTTAGAAAATTTATCCAACTCCATCCACTCTCCCAACTCTGAAAGACTCAGGATACGCAACCACCAATACCTAAACAAAATAAACCTTAGCACCAAAACCTTCATATGTCTGTTAAATGTGAGTTCTTCGTGTTGAAATTACTGCCCATAAGTTTAAAACTCTACAAAACATTAGCTCTTCCATCCTTCCCTCATGGTAGTGAAATTTGGAAACTGACGCATGATAAAAATAGACTACAAGCTACAAAGGTGAACTTTTTAGAATAAACAGATGGTACATTCCTCTCAATCACAAAACTGAATATTCAGAAATGAAATTCCAACCACATACAAATGTTTCGTTTTAACACATCACAGACTGGAGATTACAGGTTCCCAAAACAAATCTTGAAATACCAACAGAAAAATGACAACCTGGACACCCACTGAAAAGGCTAGGAGATAAATAAGGCACATCAGAAAATGATGATTCATAGACAAAAACCAAATTAGACAAGAACAACCTGCCCCAGTGGCAGACTTTCCTTCACTCCACTTCAGTTAAAAAAGCAGGGATAAATGTGCAGCTGACAAGAAATACATTCTCAAAGATTCTTAACTTAAAGAATATGCAAAGAAATAAATGAATGACTGAACATACTGTAAAACTTGTGCTGGATTAAACTGGGAATCCCTATACTTCACCAATGAATTTACTATCAAAATTCTATAAAAAGGAAGCTTTAATTCAAACAGTCATTAGTTAAACTTAAAAGTCTGAAGAGACTATGAAGATTACCTCCTATCAGTTACTCGATATTCTGCACGCAGCTTATCTGCCAGTTTTGTCTCCTGCAGGAGTAACAGAAGATACACTGTATCATGCAGAGAACGTCCAACAAACTCCCGTCGAAATTTTTCTTCTAGCGTCTTTTGATACCTGCAACAAGTGTCATACAACCATTTATGACACCTTCATTAAACAATATGTGTTCCTATACATGTTTATTAAAGTAAAGTAATTCATCACATACTAATAAAAATATGAAATGTAAAACTAAAACAAATAGATAATATTGATCCTCTGGGCTGAAACACCATGTGGACTTCATGGAAGATCCCAGCATTTTGGAGAAACATGCTGACCTAATCATGAGGACAGTATGCATCTCTCAAAAGTTGATACCTACCTACAAGTCCACAAAGTGTTATAACCCAGGAGACCAAAAGTGGTTATCATCACCACTGTAATCAGCTCATATCTCATATTAATAATAATAAAAATGGAAAGTTCTGAAATATAAAGAAATGGACTTTTAAAAATTCATGTCTCTCAAATCTATTATGAAGTACTTTGAATATAGACAGACATGATATCCACATGAAAATAGACTAATTCATTATTGATGAAATCTCAGTGCAACGATTAGAACTTCTGGTTTATAATATAAAGGACTCGGGTTTAATTTTTAAACAGAGGACTGGCTATTCTGACAAGGATTTTCACAATTATCCTAGATCAGTCCAAAAAATTCTGCATTACTATTTTAAAACAGCCCATGATAATTCCTTCCACATTTCTCCCAATTTATTATTCACAATTAATGCTATATAACTTACACATTTGGCAGACTGATGTTAACAAATAAGAAATAAGGAATGACTGAGAAACATGGAAGCTGCGAGAAAAAATTCTGTAGATCTTTCCCAAAGCATGGAAAAATGTTTATTTAACCACAAGCAAACCATCTGTAAGTGAAATTATCACCACTTGAACAGCCATGAATTTGAAGATACTGTCCACAGATGACGAGAAAAACCCTGCTGGGGGAAGTCGTTTCTGGTGCAGTGCGGGGGGAATGTTACTTATCAGCTGGACTAGAGGGCTGCTATTGGTGGGAAGTGTGATACCTCAGAGTTTTACGCTACTACACACAGACTGAAAACATCAAGCCGTAGTGAGTGCACCTCTAATGTGTTCTGTGTGTGTTGCGATAATATTCTAGATTAAATCACTGTGTCACTGTGAGGTAATCTTAAAGCTGTACCCATTAGAACACATGAAAGCCTATCGTCTGTTGTTTGTTTTGTGATTGTGGAACGAATGCTTTTAAGATGGGTTGTCACTCACCGCGAAATCTTGCGCATGCGCGTATATTGAATTCCTAGCAGGGATTTTCTCCTGATCTGTGAACTGTATATATATTTATATCCCCCCCATCTTGCCTTAGCAATTTTTGTTGCTCTTCACATAATCCAGCAGAAAATTCATTTCGGGCTCGCCTGTAACTCTCCTGTGCTGCTGACAGTGATGCTTCCACAGTCAAAGTATTCTGAACAGAAGAATGAACAAATTAGTAAATGTAAGCATTCTGTAACAATTCTGGAATGGCTGACAGAATATGACCTTTGTGAATGGTGCCAGTGATAAAACTTGTCTGGGATATGAATTTAGTGTGGACAGGGTATTTGGATCCTGTCCAGCTAACTGTGGACTCCTCAGATAACCACAGAAATTATGGTAACAACATATGCTTGCCAACTTGTTACATTTTGTATTGTTATAATATTATCAATATCCTAATCCTAATATACCATTATAAATTAGCATTCTGAGTAAAGTAAATGAAAAAAAAAAAGCTATGATGTAGAAGTACGCAAGAAACAGAACCACGAGCTGCTACTATTTGTTAACTGAACCACTTTTATTCACTGGATTGTAAAAACATTTGTTCTAAAATCTGTATTAACATACAACTTTTTTCTGAAACCAATTATTCTTAAACATACTTGACTTCATAATTGAATGGCACTGGACAAAAAGACAATTCTACAACATGAACCCAAATTAAATAAGCTTGTACCTGAAAACCATTACCTTAGGATCATAGATTTCTCGAATAAAGCAAGCTGCTTGGGCATTGTAATCATCCTCTTGAACATAGATGTCTCTGAGAGTTTCCCGATTGTGATCACGGCAATATTTTAGATACAGAGCCTGTGCTACTGGGTAGTTCCTTACTGCCATCTGTCCATATACAAAGGAGACAAAGTATTACAGAAATTCTTCTGAAGATAAGAAGAGCATTAGAACACAGATTTTAAAGACTCCTAGGAGGTATGGGGATTTAACAAGTTTTACTGTTTCATAAATGTTATTCATTCAACATATTTACCTAGAAATGTATTTTATGAAATTAGGCATCAGTACATCATATCATAGAGAATCACAAGGAGATGAACAGAACTTTATTAACATGGTGATGACAGGAAAAATAATAACTGTCATGCCAACAGTTTCCAGAAGTGATGAACCGCACACATCACTCACGTTTGCTCTGGCAATATGAAATACAGTTCTTGACCCCATAATCAGCATCCCAAACTTTTGAAGGATCTAAAATCTGTATTTTTTCCAGAGATTTTTTTTTTGCATTTTCTTATGCTTCTCACGTTTAAAATTGAAGCTTCATGGTTCTTTCACTCACTATGTGTGAGTGGTACCACTCTTGACAGGTTTTTTACCAGTAGCAGAAGGCAGCTTGCTTGTTTGCACTTCTGTAGTCAGTGGATGGCATAAGTTGTGGGTGTTTATGCATTTTTTTGACGATGAAGATGATACTACCCCACATTTTAAAATGTTTCTATTTCTAACAAAAAAAAGTGAATGATATAACATAAAAGTAAGTCTGGCTTGATCAGTTATATATTTTCAGTATCAATCTTAAAAAGGTGGTACACTGAAAACAGGTAGAAATAACTAATCGTAACTTTCCTAAAACCAAAAAAATACAAATACAGATCTTTCAACCCAGTACTCAGTTTCATATGAAACACCAGAGTTTTACCAATTTTAAATACAATGAAAGAGAGTTTAAAGTGACAATACCTGAAATTCTCCAAGGGGCATATTCTCACGTAAGTGGAGTAATACAGTGTATACAAGATCAGTGTCACCACTTTCAATTGCTTTTACTAGAGCAGGTCTGTCTTCACCCAGCCTCAGCAGCAACGGTACTTGCAGGCTTGCACGTGGTTCATAGTCCATCAACTGCAAGCAAAAGAGTGTCCTGATGTTGGGTTTCTGGACTGTGACGCCATGTGGACTAGTAGATAGATACCAATGTTTTAGAAAAACACAATGACTCTATCTTCAGCCCCAGATATGTAGGCAGTATGGTCCTCTGAAAAGTTGCAATCTACCTATAAGTTTGCATGGATCACAATCCAGAAGCCAACACTGAAGCCTTCATTGTTATGAGAATCTCAAATCCTACAAAAGAGTGCTCCATTTTGTGTTGTGAAAGGAAACTTTATCATTCTTAAACTTCTTGAAAGATGCCAAACAAACTCTTTACTCTTGCCAGCATGCCAACAGCACTGGCTGTCCATTCTGTTGCATACTGAATATTAAACACATACTTGTATTTCCACCTGTAGAAATACAAAACTGTATGACACCTGAATCACATGTTTACAATGCCCAGAGTGGTGGATGTCAAGCAACTATTTGTTTTGTTTATAAACTTCTGCAGTGACCAGACATGTATTGATCTTGAAAATATACAGAGATGGATCTTGGCTGCACTGTAAACTTGGCTAAGAAAAAGTTCAAAGTTCCTACAAATTTATTTTATTGGTTATAGCTCTAAACTAATTTAAAAACATGCAGTCATTATAAAATAAAACTAATTCTATTGGCCTGTACCACAAAATTCATGCTTATATATTCTGGCTGAGACTTTATACAAAACCAACCTTGATAGCAAGTTGCATGCGCCCACAGTCAGCTGCTTTCATGGCAATCTCACTATAGGAGATTCCAGGTGCATATCCCAGTTTCTCAGCTATATCCCGTGCAACCTGTTCTCTATCCAACTGAGTCTGTTTTACCTGCAGCAGAGAAACTTTACAATATTTATTAGAGCCAGTACAATGCGATGAACACACAGGATAATTTAACGTAACATAAAGTTAAAGCTGACTCATTGCTAAACTTATTCTACTTATTCCTAAATATTTCTTACTAGGATATGAATAAAACATTCAAACTTCCAAACACAAAAAACAAAAAATTAGTTACATAGGAATGAAGGAATTACATGGGGTAAAATTTTGGATCAAAGATGTACCTTATAGCATGCCCAGTGAGCCAATATTCTGCTTGATCCTTCATTATAAGGCAGCTTCAAGTACTTGGCAATTTGGATAGCTAAATAGTAATGTCGTCTTAAAACAAGTCTATCCAAAAGTACTTGGATTGTCAGATGCTGCATTCTGTGGTGATGATAAAGGAACAACACAACAATACTATCTCTACCTACAACCATTGGGCCACAGAGTAAGTACAGTGCATTTTATGTGGGTTATATGACAACCAAGCCTCTCCATCTATGTCTTCCCACAGCTGCTCCTTCTCCTCCACAACTTCCTCCAACATACTTCATTCTGTTGTTCTTGATCTTGGTCTTCCTCATGAGTGTTTTACTATTTTTACTTTCATGTTCAAAACCTTTCTTTACCTCTACATGAATTGATTCCTAAACCTTAGCATACAATATTCTGTTAATCTGTGTTATACATGACAGGTTTTAAACTACTTTTTTGTTACTAATGTAATGTGACCAGCACCAATTCATCTCGTCTCTTTTGTGATAAAACTGGAGTAACTTACAATCACTGTATATGAACAGATCATAAATGACAAGTTTTTAATCTAATGTTGTGCTGTGTAGTCTGGTAGAAGGTTACAAAGAAATGGGGATTAGAATAACAGTTCATTTACCACTTTGCCAGATAGGGATTAGAATTATAGTTCATTCACCAGTTTCACCAGATCTGGCTACATGTGATGTATTTTAATTCCAGGAAAAGCTCTAATAATTTTAACAGTACTATGATAATCATAATCAACAGGCTAAAATTAAATTATTTTTTATTTCCCAGAAATGAGAAAACAAAAGTATGTGATAAAGGTTATAATAGTTCAAGGAGAGTATTCTGAAGGAATGTGCATAAATGTTATGATAAAAACACAATATTTTTTCTTTTGAATCCTGCAACTTTATGCCCATTCCTTACAAAATTGTGGGTAGTGTCAAACATTAAGAAACCTTTGAAAGGATACTGTGTACATGTCAGTGGGATACCAATCTTGTTGTCCCGCACAGCATTGAGTACACGCAACAGGCGACACATCTTCACATATGAGTCTGAGTTCAAGTCTGGGACAAAACCCTTCCCAAACTGAGCTGCCTGTAAACGTAAAATAAATATAAAGTAATATTACAGTAATCACCTAACTGACAATGAGGTGTACAAACTGTCCATACTGTACGAGAACTCATATGTAAGTACTATTATATATTGCTTCCATTTACCTGGAAGGGCTGCACTTTGTCCTTCACTATTCATATAGACATACAATTACAACCCTATTATTTTCTTTTACAGACAGATCAATTCTACCAGTAAAAATAAATGGTGAAGAAGAGGAAAACATAGATTTTATTTTATTTATTTATAGTTTATTTAATCATTCTGTTAGTAACTGAGACAATACAGCACTGAAAAAAAAAATATAAATCATTATTAAGATAAGAACTCACCCGAATTAGCATCTTCTGATTTCCTGTATCAAACTCATAACCAGCTGCCTCAATGCACTGTCTCACAGCTACTTCCAAGTGATCCTTCACTAGACGTATGTACTCATCAGCTCGATAGCTGCGTTTCTGTGTTGCCATTCAACATATTCAACAATCTACCTCTGAAATCCTGTTATCTATGACTATTTGAACAGATAATTAACTAGTGTTCACATGACAACAGTATTTCAGTGTAATATAATGCAATGCAAGATGTCCAGGTACATTATAGACCACAAGTTAAGCATAAAGATTGCTGTCTTCTGGGTTGTTGCGCAGTGTAGTCTGGTAGATGTCCACCAACATTTCAGAGGTCATACTGCCTCAGTCATCTGGGAAATGTTTCATGACCTCTGAAACGTTGGTGGACATCTACCAGACTACACAGCGCAACAACCCAGAAGACAGCAATCTTCAGACTCACCACTGTGAAAACCTCGAATCTTTCAAGTTAAGTATACACCAATACAAAATCATGTCTGGAAACAAGCCCTTCTCATCTTATCAACATGAGGTGGTAGATGCAGACATATAAAAATAAATGTAAATTCAGAAACAAAAGGATTAAAAATGTCTGTAGATTCAGCAGTATCACCTGCAATCCAATTTATATTTCTCTTAGCATTTGTATTTCTAATACAGTTAACACATCCAAACTAATGTGTTGTTATTTACTTCTAAGCACTTATCCAGCTGAATGCTTTGTAAAACCAACAGCCATTTACAACAACACATTCTTTGGATCATTCTACTACAAAAATAAAAGACTAAAATTCAAAACATCTTTTGCAGTATACAAGAATGGCTATGTGAGGAGGAGTACCTTCAAGATTTTTACCATGTACAGAATCTTTTCCTTACAAAACACAAGCACACAATATCAGTCATAATAATTTTCACATCTTACTGGCCCATATAATTTTTTCACCACAGTTACAAATAGTGACAAGTCTTTGCAATACTTCTCATGCAAGAAGTGTGATGTAATAAGGTCAATAAATTTAAACAGTTCACTACTTGTCTTCTCATACAAACACACTTTTTAAGGACAGTCCAAAGTCACTATAAACAGTAATAAGATCTGGAGTACATGCTGATTAGTGATTCAAGAGATGTCACAGAACCATGGCAAAAACCTCATTCAGAGCACTCCAACTTCAAATAAATAAAGTTGTAATAAATATATAATTTATTTCAATTTGAGAAAGAAGCTACATACCTGAAATTGTTTTGAAGCTTCCAACAAATATGAGCTTGGATCAGTGCTGTTAATTCGAAAAATCTGCTGCACTACTAAAGGCACTTTTTGGATCATCTCATGACTAAATGTTGACAGAACACGAACACCATCCATCTCAGGAACCAGCCGAACTGCAGAGTCATAGCCATAATTTATGTAGTCACCTTGACGGCCAATAACAAGCAAAACATTGTCCCAATAACCAATCACAGCTTCTGTTCCACACCTACGCAAAAACAATCCAATTTAAAATTATATAAATTCAAATTATATTTATGATAATAAATGCCAAAATAAAGTTGTACAAAAATGTTTTTATGCAAAAGATAAAGATAAATAACACAATGGAATATGAATATGAAGCAGGAAAACCTTAAACTAAAACGGTTTTTTAAAGAATTCTTAATACCAACTAATACTTTACACTATTATAAATAACCCACGAAAATCCAAAGTCCACAACAAAATAATGGAGTATATGAAAGTATAAGATTCCACTAGTCCCAGTTTCTTTATGTCAACAAATATTTATAACACAGTTATTCAAAATGAAAATGTTTAAAACAAGTTTTGTTGTCCCAGGCAACAATCTTATGTAAAAGAGGGACACTACAACAGACATACATATTGTCAACTAAATTACACTGCAGATTTTTTCTACACATTTCTCCCATATTTTAAAAAGTTCATCGGTCAGCTGACTGTTTTAACTTCCTGGGCAAAGAAGCTCCAATTTCGAATTAAGAGGTAATGTACTTATGCACTGCTATTTAACAAAAGAAAATTCAACAATTAAAACCTCTATAAAAACTGCTTTTCAATTTCTGTCATGTTTGTCAATACTTATTAACAGTTCATAATGAATACATTTTATAAGAAACTTAAATAATGTTTAACAAATTAGAATTAAAATATACTCACCAAACCAGCTGCTTTGGTCGGTACGGGCATTTGGTATCAAATTCATAATACTGTTTCCTAATATCTGCTGATCCAATCCACAATCGACCACTGTCAGCAAAGAGAGCAACATGTCTGTTGTTCTGAGATACAGCCATCTCAATGACAGAATTGACAGGCTGTGCGAAATCTGGTGTCTGTTTGTTATATGTAACACATGGACAAAATTTACAGAAGAATCATCACAGAACATAACTCTGCACAGTGAAACTATCTATCATCTAGTAACATCAGCAAGAGTAATAAGTTTATAATAAAAATATGCTACATTGATTTACAAAATAAAAGCTCAGAGAATTTTCTTATTATTGTGTCCATTATAAGTTGTCTGCTATATCTAAAACTTCAAGCACGGTCTGGTGATAGAAAGACACTTCTTTAGTTTATGTTTTCAGATGGCTAATATTACACATGGTAAGAGATAATCTTCCTATATACCCAAACAGTCCACTGTCCATAAGACATACATAATAGAGTTCTCTGTATCATACCAAATTCATAACCGTAAATAGGGTATTTCTAAAGGCATAATAGTCCACATTATCAAAAACATCAATATATGCACATAAGAATTAAAAGTATACCAAACATATGCATTTTGAGATTTTCATGATAATATTAATTATTATATTTCTTTGGATTTTAACTCTGTGCTTTATCCAATGAAATGTTAGAAGTTACTCGGAAAACATAATGCTAAATTCCAGTAACACATATGGTAAGAATCCCAGTTATTTTTTCCTTGATTCAAAATATTCATTCCTTCGTGCAGAGAAGTTATCTGAGCTGAAAACTTGTTCTATTCAATGTTTTGTTAGTTTAGTTCTAAAATACACTGTCTCCCAAACAGAAACTTGAATGTCCTTCCTAGGGTTTAAATATACAACCAAATTTAAGTTAATATTTTAAAATCAAAATATAAACTGAGATGTACACTGAGTGTCAAACAAGATTAACTCACAACTGGTAAAGCATGTGGTTCTGACTGTTTTAAAACAAACAGTTCCTTGTCCTTTGCAACAAGAACACGAGTCTGCCGGTCTTCAGAAATTATTGCCCAGCTGCTGGGAGGAACATTTAGACCTGCAAAATGTAAAACATGGGAATACACATGCACATACTGAATGTTTCTCCTAAGAGACAGAAAGTAACAGGATGCTGAAGAAGTGTCATAATCTACAGTCTTCTCTGGGCATTATTAATGAACTAAAAAAATAAAGGAGGATGAGATGGGCCAGGTATGCAGTATGCATCAGTGTTGAAAAATGCATATAAAATTTTATATCAGTAAAACCGAAGAGAAGGCCCACTTGCAAGGCTAGTTACAATGGGACAGTAATATTAAAATGGACCTTAAGGAAATTGGGTCTGATAATGTGGACCAAATTCATAGCAGCAAACAACAGCAAGGTAGGAAGAACAGGCTCCTCTCAAAAGAAAGAAAGAAAACCAGAAACGACCTCTTCAAAACAGCAATCTAGCTAAGAAATAGAGGAACGTACAAGGAAGCTGCAGCCAATATCACCTGGATGTACATGTACACCTAATATCTTTCACGAGACTATGGTTAGGAAACCATGATTCTCCAATAACTTCCTTGTTCCCAAAAGGAACTTTGTGCATTACTATTTTAGATAGTTATTACATTTTAAATTATATAAACCTATGCAAACACTTACTTGGAACTTCAGCCAATCTCCGAACTTTTGGTTCCTTTACACTGTTGACTAAAAATATACGATATGATGATGTAAGAACAGCAACACCAGTGCCATTAAGATTAGCAAATATCTTGGCTTCAATTATTTTTGTATCTTTTGCTTCCTGCAAAAATAACCACATGCTAAATTACTCTAAAAATACAAGGCCAAATGCAATGTGTATTGATGACAATTAGAACATAACTCCTTTGTGTAGCACAGTATTGTTGCAAATTTAGAGAACAGAACTATAAATATATTTATTGCCAATCTTGGATCCATCTACTGAATGTATGGAATCATACTACAGAGAAACAATGTTCTAATCACTTGACCTTGCAGTGACAGCCAGACAATGTGGAACTGATAACAGAAACCCCTAGATCTTTAATATATAAATACAACTTTCTGCACCTATCAAATAATAAATGGAACAGCAGTTAAGCTGTTTACTTTCTACAATTAATGTAATAAAAATACCCTTAATTCCTTAAATGATTCTAGTAATGTAAAATGTCTCTCGTTCCTTTTCTGTCTCTCTCGCACACGCTGCAACATGCCCACACACTCCTATTGGTTCCCACGTCCATGCCTGATTCTGACACGTCCCCACTGGTTAGGTTTAGGCTACTTCTTAACTGTCCAGTCCCTATAACTCTAGTGCTTTCCACTCGCACAGCTTACTCATCACCCTTATGATGAAGGCAGTAAGAACCTCTGAAACGTAGGTATACTTCTACCAGATCACATGACACAATAACCTAAGACAGCAATCTTCAGACGCACCGCTGTGAAAACCTCAAATCCTACTTATTTATGAATGTTGTTAATTACTGCATGTGAAAACATGGTAAACACACACCTGCCCCATGCTGAATGTATGCTGATATGTACCAAACATGTCATATATCAAGACTGAACCATCATCTTGTACACAAAGAAGGTCTTCCGTAGAAGACCAGCCAAGCTGTATGATCTGCCCACTAGTCCAGACAATTGATGAAATATTCTTTCCTGAGGCAGAATATATGGAAATTACTGGTTTTCCAATTCCCTGAACTTTTACAAACTTCTTTCTGTCCCTGATTACAGCAACTGGTCCTCCATATGGGGCAACAGCAACACTCACATTTTCCATATTGATCTCATTTTGCCATGACATAGAATAAATCTCAAACTTCCTGAAAAAATAAAGGCATGTATAACTTGATTTGCCAAATCTGCACAATTCATAGCATAAAAATAAAAGCAACTAAATTTCATGGCCTACAAATTTACAACAAATTAAACTGGAAAATGCATATTCAATACATTACTCCTAAACTAAGCCTGGCATGTTTTGCTAAGTGGACAGCTGCAGCACTCATGAAAACAGAAACTTTAAAATTAGTGTATTATGCTTACTTCCATTCCATCATGTCCTATGGAATCATTTTCTGGGGAAATTCAGTGGACAGCTAAAAAGTATTTTACATTCAAAAGATGATCATTAGAATAATGGCAGGCAATAAAAGGAGAACCTCCTGTAAGGAATTATTTAAGAAGTTTAATATTCTTCCACTACCCAGTGAATTCTTGCTCTCACTATTATCATTTGTAGTGGATAACATGGAAAAATTCTATTCTATGATACCAACAAGAAGTCTGTTGAACTTTGGAGAGAATATGAAACTACCGAATTAAATAACCATGCTTTGTGTATATGGAAGATTATCAACTCTCTTCTTCTTCTTCTTCTATGGCTCTCCGGTCCGTATTCGGTCCATGGCCTCCTCAATTCTCCTCTTCCATTCGGTCCTATTGTTTGGTCCATTCTGTCCGAGGTTTTGATTGAGGTTTCGAAACATCTTCCTTTTTACGGTGCAAGGTTGTTAGCCTTGCGACCAACCCCCAACCTGGAGGACCAGGGTACCTGTCTTAGTCTGACCTCTTCGCCTTGACCAATCTGGCTAGGGAGGCCCTACAGTAGCTATGCTGCTGCCAGCATAGCTCTTGGGGTCACTGAGGTACTCAAGCCCCACCACCACAACAAGGTGCAGGTATTATCAACTCTCACCCACCTAAATTTCTCATCCACATCAACTGTTCACAGTTCTGGTTGTCTCAGATAATTTTAAACATTTTCTATTGTTTAGACATACTCTATTAACGTACAAACAACATACTTTAAAATAAGGACATAAAAACAACAGCATATATGAGGGTCATTCTGAAATGGCAGCTTGCATTTATTGGTACTTAAACATAAATTATGCTTTTTGGAATAAATCCATAATAGTACATTACAAAAGTGCTATTTGGGGACGAAATCAAACTCGGTTATTCTTATGTATTCTCAGACTGTCAAGGAAAATTAATCCATCAGATACACAATACGGCTAATTGCAAAACATTCCCACTTCAACTGCTTGTTTTCCTCCTTTTAGGTTAGAAGATTAAATATTTGGTTGGCATCATTACGGCAATTATTACCTGAAGTAAGTGTCCCTTCCGAGAGGACACCAATCTGCTGTCAACATAGCCGACATATTGCTGAGAAACGACTGTAACTCAACAGCCTCGATATACGAAAATATTACGACTCTTTAAAATACGAACAACACTAACACCGATCATAGGCACCATATATTAATACCAACATCATGATCAGTTTGTAATAGAGACTAATACATTTTGACCACTAAAAGGCGGTAGATAAGCGTTGAATACACATTATAAAAAACGTTCAGGATCCGCAGTTTTATCATCAGTGTATATGCTATTATTTCGAGAACATATTTGCAAATGAAGGGAATAACAAATTTTGAAAAACAAAGTTGGTTTTCCTGAATCATGAACGGAGAAGTCTGAACAATCTCAGCTATCTGCCTCTTATACGTCATTTTCTCTTTAATACTTATACCGTTTGTCTATTTCATGAATCCGTTGCATGATTCATATTGGTCAAGTACAGTACGTTAACTGATAAGGTTGAACGCAACTGTCACTACCTAACAACCGGTTGGAACTACATGACTCGCCATCAAATGCTACAAGGTTTTCCCAATACAAGTCGAGCATCCATCCACATGCGCACACACATATACAAAAATCAACTTTGCAGTTTCTGCTTGGAGGCACGAACTGACAGTTACATCCAACTTTACCAGTAAATATACTGTAGTTAGCATTATGCCGGGGATCCGTGGGCCTTGTGCCACTTGGTTCGAATCCCACTCAGGCCATGGATGTTTGTCCGCGTTGTGCTGTCCTGTGTACAGGTAGAGGCCTTCCGACGGACCGATCCCTCATCCAAGGAGTCCTACCAAATGTATATAGATCGAGCTAACGAAAAGTTGGGACCCGCAGTGCACAGGCACTTGTAGAACGGGTCATTCCCAGTATCATTATACCCATGCCAAACCTGATATTCTCAAACAGCTCAGCGCATAAAATAATTTTATAACATAAAAGACGTACAATTTTGCTTGAATATTTTTTGGTACATAAAGAAAATAATATGACTGTGCAGTGTGAAAGCATCCAGATGTTGGTAAATGTTGAAATGTGAACTGAGGTACATCACATACTTCTTTCATAGCCTCTCCAGCATTTACATACATTACTCTACACCCATTAAATTTAATTTCAGTTCATGAATTACAAAGTAGTGTTGATTGCATGGAAAAATTATTTTGTGTGAACAATAAATCTACCATCCACCATCCATGGACTCCACCATCAGCCTTCTTCCACCTTTCACATCGACAGGACATCCAACAGCCAGAGTAAAACCATAGTATATAAATATGTCTTCATGCTGCATAACTAAATTCTATGTTAACACTGTCACAAATTTCATTGTATTCATTGCATATTTAAATGGTTAATGACACCAAAATAGGAATGAATTTCACTGTTTAACAAGCTTCACTTTTTGACCATTTGCTTGGCAAATTCCAACAGTCATTAAAAGAAGACACTTGCATAAGTTACATGCTCTATACATTACAAAACTCTTACAGACACTTCATTAAAAATTATTTGAACTATACATGTTTGATAATTATCAATCTTAAAAACTATTTTATGACACCTTACATTACTATTTTAGTGCATGCACACACACACAATCATATGAGGAAATGGGATATGAATAATTCTCCATCACCAGGGCTATGAATAAGTCTCATTCACAGTTTCTCACTCTTTGCAGTGCTACTAACATACGAGGGTGAGTCAAATGAAAACCGTAAAACTGAGATAAAAATTCGAAATATCGCGCCATTGTCCTATAAGTTGGCAGACATGTTACCAATGCTATAAAGAGTATCCTATAGGTGGTAGTATAATGCAGACAAACATATCGCCATCACAGTGCCAATTTGAAAATGGCTGCTCCACTAGTTACGTGCATTGCACTTTGAGTGTCTTCCACATCCGCCATACTCACTAGACCTAGCCCCAAGTGATTACCACATGTTTGGGCCACTCAAAGAGGCGATGGGAGGAAAGAAGTTCCGTTCTGACGAAGAGATACAGCATGAGTGGTTGCGCAGACAACCACAAGAATTTTTTTCTAGAGGAATCCATACACTTCGTAAACGCTGGAGGGCCTGTATTGAACGAAATGGAGACTATGTAGAAAAATGATATAGTTGTGTACCGCTTTCACTCAATAAATTAAATTAATTTTTTTGTTTACGGTTTTCATTTGACTCACCCTCGTAGAACACAATGTTTTTTAAACATACCACCCACAACCACACCCTGAAACTACAAGAGCCAGATAATTAAAAAGACTCTTAAACTTAATCAAGAATGAATTACTGCACAGGAAACTAATATCTTGTTGATCACAATATTTCAAAATAATTCCTTTTTTAACCAATTCATCAGTTACATATCACAGTACTTGTAATCTTGGTACTGTCTGGGCTTTGATGTTTGTGAGTTTGGTATATTCTTCTTCCAACTTATGCAGATTCTCAAGGCTACTGGCAAAGTCCTCTTCATTGAATCCAGGCACTTGAAGGTAGTGGTGTACATGAGCCTTTATTGAAGTTTTAAAAAATAAAACAGTGAAAGATCATTATATTATTTTATAGCACAATGCTAACATTATGGTAAAACACTAACATCATTTATCAAAATTTATCATAAAAAAGGTAATTAAACCATACTATGAGACTGCAGGCTACACACAGAACTCTGCTCATTTTCAGTGTATTAACACTATATATATAGTGCCCCCTCAAAAATGTATATACATTAAATGAATGAAATAAAGACACTTGACTGCATCAACACCCCACACTAATGACTAAGTTTTGACACATATTCACCTTTCTCTGATATAATTTAGTAAATTTCTGTGAAACATCTTTAAACAGCGAAGACATGTTGGATGTATTGATGAGGGATAGAACTGAAGAAGCAAGACCTGGAGGTGGAACTGAACACAATCCGATCTTCATTGCATCTCCACAGCTCCAGGGAACAAATTTCACCTTAGTCTGAAATCTGGAAAATGGCACATGAGTTGAGTCACTTGATAGTAGCAAAACAAACCTAATCATATGAATCAATAAATATAAATGTGAGAAGAAAGTTTCTTACTTGTCTATGTTGCGGCGCATATCAGAAACAGAAATTGATCCCCTGCCCAAGAGAGATGCACCCAATACGATCCCACTTAGGGGATCCACCTTCAGAAGCTGATTGTCTCGTGACCATGCTGATGTAAATAAATCATCTGTCCTGTCAATCAAGCCATTCCATCACACATCATGTCAAAGAATATATACTATTTAGCAAATAAAACAGGCCAAGCATTGGTGTATCCACTGCTCCAACATGCTTCTATATTTACAGTGATTATTTATCTTCTGAATTCTTGTATCAGAGATTGACTTATAGAAGTGACTCAATTGATATTTTAGTTTCTTAAAATTTCATATTTTCTTCAAAAGCCAACTAAACTGTACAATATGGATTTTGGTCTAGCAAATGCTATCCTGTTTGATGTTTATTACGATTACTATAGTTTTCCTAAGTCACTTTTAGCACATGCTGACAGATTATTTTCATGGAAAATATCTGATTTCTCCTATAACCCTTCACACTTACATTTCACTGTCACCCTGCCACCTTACACTCTGTTATTTAGCTGACAAAACAATGTTAAGTAAAGGTAAATAATAGTTGCACAATAGCACATACTCACTTCAT